CCCAGACTGAATACAGCTCTAACACCATCTACTACCTGATAGGTGCTTTATTACCCTTCAGGTGTTTTCTATAGGACTTTGTAGCCAAGGTTTCTACTGCTTCTTGACACAATTTTAGCCCATTCTTCAAGGCAGTCACCCATTTGCCCTAGGTTTTCAAACTTATTTATCTCACTCTTTGGGGTTCAGTCTCCTTTTCAATATTTACTGTTGTATGGTTTTGCCCTTACTTTGTTCCTTTTTGCTAAGCAGGCAAAGGGTTTATTTAATCGATCTTTTCAATGAATCAGCATTTGTTTCATTCAGTTAACTTATCTTTACTCTTTTTTTATTTTAAATAAATATTCAGTCCCTATGCGGTTTCAAGGCAAGGGCTTTCCTAAATATACTTATGGCATAAAATGTTTTACTACTTTGGGGTAATCTACTTGATTTTCTTCATCTCAGAATTCCTTATTTTCAAATAGGGAATATTTTGACCCTCTTATTTCCATCTTATTATCTTTCCAACTTTATCAGGTTATAATTTATTCAGGTTTTGTGACCAAGAACTCAATCAAGTTTGAGAAACAGAAGAAAACAATGTACATTATCCAGGTGTAGGACCTAAGTGTGTATCTCTTAAATCTAACTTGTTAGTCATTAGTTTGATCATCTGTCCTTGGTGATTTTTTTTTTATATACTAGACATCCAGATTCTGAAAGATGTTTTCAGTCAGGTAAACTTTTATTGTATGAGCTTTTGTTTTCTATGTTTAACACAGTAATGATGGTTTCTAATTAAACATCTATGACTTCTGCATCCTTTTTGTAAATGTTCTGTCCTTATATATTGTCCCTCTTAATGCTCTTTAGCACTTTCTCCCTTAAATTCTACTTTGGCATTAACTTTTTCTTCCCAGTTTTTCCCAGTAACTCCTCATTCCTGTTTGTTTGGTTTTTGGGGGGCGGGGGGGTGACCTTTTATTAGACTTACTTCCTCTAAACATCACACTGCTCCATTTCTTTGCTTCTTCTCTAATAGAATCCAGGCCATTCACCTAATTAAATATGTTATGTCCATTTCATTTTAATTATTATATTTTCTTTAATTTCTTTCATCTTTTTGTATAATTTTTATTCTCTTGGTTAAGTTTCTATTTTTTTTTTCCTCTGCTTTGCTTAAACAATTCTTATGATGGTTGCTTTCAGTTTCTTAACATTTCCTTTGTACATCACAATATCGAAATTAACTGCCCCCGGCAGGATGCTTTCTCTGCCTCCTGACTTCACAGGCATAAATGCCAAAACCTTTTAGGATGGCTGTATTTTAATTCCTGGCTGTTGCTGATACATTTGATTATTTTTGGTTCTAGACTATCATGAAATCAAGCTCTCTCCCGAGTTGGGGACACACTGCGTCTGAAATCTTGCATGTCCACAGATCCGTCTCTATTGCCTTGATGTGTCCCAGAGTGGAGCAGCCCCTGCTTATCCTCCAGGAGTATGCGCCCCGTTAGCCCCTCTCCAAAGGGGACGTGTGAATCCACGGTCTGCTCTGGCTGAGCCTCAGCAGGAAGCACAGATCCTAGTCTTTCCCACCAGGCCACCCCACCCCGTACCTTTGCTCCACCCAGCCCCGTCCACCCGGGGATCCGTCCTGTAAGGTCCTGGGGCAGCCAGTTTTCTCAAACACACCCTCCAGCTGCGGCCAGCCTGCCCATCTACGAGGATTAGGGTGACTGTTCAAGGTTCCGTACTGTCTCGTGCCCATGCTTCCGAATCTCACACGTTTAGCTCATTTGAGTGAAAGAGGCCCTTTTCAGTTAACAGCAGGATTTGAGATCATACAACTAAAAAGAAACTATTCTAGAGAACAAGTCGACATGGATCCAAAAATATATGGTCTTTTCCCTGCCCCCCGTCTTTGACCTGTTATTCCATTATAAAGAGCTAGCCTCAGGAAATAATTTTTAATCAATGATATATGATGATCTTCATTATTTATAAAGTAAAAAAGAAAAGTACACAACAATGTACCTGTCCATCAGTGGGAGAAAGGCTAAGTGAGTTAAGGACTTCTACCCGCTGAAATAGGGATTTAATGGCTTTGACAATCATAGTAACATGGAAAATTGCTTAGCATCACTTGTGAAGTGGAAGAAGGGCACATATTCATACATATTATATGAATCCAACTATGAAAATATCATGTACAAAACAATGACCAGGCAAAGGGAAGACACCAGAATGCCAACAGAAGTGGTATGCAGGTGGTTTGTGGCTTTTCCAACCTCCCCCCTTCTTCCTTTCCTACTTGTCAAATTAAATATCCGAGGTAATAAAATGGTGTTAGAAACACCATTTGTAAACCATGCATACAGCTAACAGAGTAACAGAATTGAAAAGTGATTGTGACATTTAAATGGCTTCTTCAGAAAGGGTTCAATGTGCTTACTGACAGTTTTCTGGGGCTTTAAACTCTTTACCTCAGCCAATGCTTCATGAGTAAACTCCATCTCAGCTCTGCTGGATTAATCATTTGCTCAGATAAAGCTTTCTGCCAGTGCCCGCCTTGCAATACAGTGATAAATAAAACTCAGTTTGACCTTGGGCACCCAGAATGCCCAGGTCTCCCAAACACACCCCTCATCACAGTGTGGGCAGAGACACCCAATGGTGCCTGTGAGTGCCTTACAACCAGGTGACACATGGAATTAAAAGCTCGGGAACCTGCAGCAGCGATGAAACCTGCACCTTCTCAGACAGTTTTTTCCCTTGGAACCCCATGCAATGCCCCTTCTCCCCCCTGCTCCCCTCTCAGGGACCACCCCAACAGAAGTCTCCCTCACCAAGGGTCAAGCCTGAATACACACATTTTCTTTTAAATATACTAATTTTACCTGCTGCCAGCAATGCCTAATCATTTAAATTCTTTACAATGCTTCCAGATTGTTTATGACAGCTTTACAGAGCAGGGTGCACACAAATGCTCAACAAGGTCCACCAGGAAAGGAAGGACTTGAAAACTTTCCTGTCCAAGCATTTCTGTCACTTAGAATCATGAAAGGTGACCTTTTTTTTTGATCCATAGTTTAAGGCTCAAGAGAAAACTATAATTTTCATATAAACATTACATTTATTTTGACAGAGTCTAAAACACTAACACTTAAAATTTGCTTCAAAACGGAAAACCTTCCATTATCCATCCCTTTATCCTTTCAGATAATTTCATCATCATGAGCTTATTTTATACCAACAAACCGTCACTGAGGTTCTCTGGCCCCTGCCTACTGTGCTTTGTATTTTTCATGCTCTTCCGTCTTGATACTTCTAAAATGCTCTGAAGTGGAAAACTCAAGGTTGTAAAAACTGAACGGAAGGCAAAGAGGTATGCAGAAAGCCTGGCATTCTCTCCGAGGTTTTGCTGTGTGGGCAGCGGCTGTGGCTGTTCACAGGCGCGGTCCCTGCCGTCTCCCTCCCCACTGGATGCGCTCAGCTCGGCAGGCACACCTGGGAGACACTGCAGGCTGGGTTCCAGACCACCACAATAAAGCGAGTCACACAAATCTTCTGGTTTCCCAGTACACAGAAGAGTCACCTTTCCACCATACTATATAGCCTGTTAATTATGTCTTCAAAAAAAATACACTTACCTTCATTGAAAAGACTACACTGCTAAAAAAATTTTTTAAAGCTAACCATCATCTGAACAAGGCATAGTATCAATAGTTAACAGCCAAGATCACAGATCACCATAACAAATAGAACAGTAAAGGAAAAATGTGAAAAAAGAGAGAATTATCAAAATGTGACCCAGACATGGAGAGAGCAAATGCTGTTGGAAAAATGGTGCCAACAGACTTGTCACAACCCTGCAATTTGTTTTTAAAAAAAAGAGGTGTGATAAAATGAGGCATGCAGCACTGATCAGGTCATCCCAGGAGAACTGGGGTGACCACAGACTCACCTGACCCATGCTGAGTTTTGCGGGAAGGGAACGGAATCCTGTGAAAGTATAGTGGCCACAGGTGGGCCCTTGTGGGTTTCACTTTATAGGGGTGGCCGTCGGGAAAATTCTGAGGCTCCAGAATCACCATGCATGTGTGTATGTGCTCAGTCGCTCAGGCGTGTCCGACTCTTTGTGACCCCATGGACTATAGCCCACCAGGCTCCTCTCGTCATGAGATTCTCCAGGCAAGATTACTGGAGTGGGGTGCCATGCCCTCCTCCAGGGGATCTTCCCAACCCAAGGATCGAACCCACGTCTGCTGCGCTGCAGGCGGGTTCTTTACCGCCGAGCCACCGGGAAAGCCCCCAGAATGGCAACACACACCATCAAGCCCAAAACCTGAGCCACCCACCGCTTGGTGGTACATTCTTAAGCTTTTGTCTGACCAGCCTTATCTCATCCTCTTTCATAGTTCAAACAGGCCAAGCCCTTTCCACCAAGCCAACCCAAACTGGGTTCATCAGCATAGAGACTGTGTATCTTCAAGACCTCGACAAACCAAAAGAACCAAGAAGGCAGCTCCACCAAGAGCAGAAAGAACCACAGCGGGAGTGCCGCTCCCTGTGGGAAGCTGACGTCTGGGAATTTCCTTCTGCAGGACGAGCTGTGACGAGACCCTATGGGACGCTTGAGGAATCTGGAAGGCAGTACCAGAATACCAGGCGGAGGAAAGCACGCCGGAAGGGCGAGTGTGCCCGGAAGAGCTTCGTCTTGCCCGGCTCTGAAATGAAAGCAGGGAACTTCCAAAGAGCTTCCCCCTTTCCAGCGACACAGCCCTATTCACAGACCTGTCCAGCATCCTGCAACAAGACAGGCCACTGGAAGGAAAACCCGAGGACCTCGGACGACATCTGTAGCTAAAAGGAATCCTCCTTTTATGGTGTGGCGCGCTTGGCTAGATGACTCTCAAATGTTTCCCAAGTCCTTCAGCCACACTCAGAGGTCGTCTCCACCTCCCCCCTGCCGCAGCCGTGGCCCAGCGAGCCCCCACTGGTGTTTCTCCACTCACCAGGACTGGCCGCATCTCACAGAAAACCAGGAGTGACGCCAGCTCAATGTCTTCACTGTAGCCATTCTTCAGAGGAACAGATCTAAATCCTGCAGGTCGAAAACACAAACCAGTTCACGTCAGATCTCTGCTTTTCTTGAAGTACCCAGGGATCAGGCGCCCAGTGCACGGAGCAGAGAGGTCCGGGCCCTGAGCTGGGGCACTGACTTCCCTTCTGGAAGCCAGAGGTCCCTCCCCCGCCTGATGGTTGGGGAGTGGGGCTACAGAACACGCCCTGACTGCCAGGTCCAGCCAGAGAAATGAAGCTAAAAATGCCTGCCCTCTAGAAATGCAGATGGCTCGGAAGGATTAGAGCCCATAGAATACTGCACGCTGAATTCGGACCCTCTACAGCTGTGGTTTCAGTCCCTTAAATATTCCTGAGCCCAAAAGATGCAAAGGAGTAATGAATCCCCACGTCCATCTTCTTCACTCAGCCCTGTACAAAGCTTGGGACAAGCGAGTGTTTTTAAAGATGTCCAGTGGGAAGAAATCTTTCCATCCCTTGGCAGTTTGCCCTGTTGATCATCCTCCCCTAAAAGGAGGATGCCATTTCCCTATTTGTAGTTTGCCATTCCCTATTTGTAGTGAGGACCTGTGTCTGCCAGTCATTTAAATGTTTCTTTTTATTGAGGGAGAGGGTTAAAATGGGGCTGCAGTCCCCCCACCCCTCCCCAGTGAGTAATGTTTAAGGCAACACATCTTAAAGGTTGGTTGTTTGGCTTGTTTTGATAGAGCAGTAGAACTGAATAGACAGCAGAAATTAACATCTCATTCCCACCCACTCGTACCTCTTATTACAGAAGGAACCATTGTTAACGGCTTTCCAAAATCATCTATGCAGTGTGTGTTTCCTTTAAAATCACAGAGAATAGTACCCTAACCAGCCATTCTGAATCTTACAGTTTCCACTGAACACTGTATCTTAGGGATTCACTATGTAGCCCTAGTTTGACTTCAAAGCTTTTTCTTAAATGGAAACATAGTTGATGTACAATATAACATTAGTTTCAAGTGTATTGTATAGTGATTTGACATCTGCATGTACTATGAAATGATTATCACAATAACTCTAGTAACCATCTGTCCCGAAGTAAGTACAGTATTACTGACCACATTCTTTATGCTGTTATATAGTACATACCTGTGGCTTATTACTAAGTAGAGATTTGTACCTTGAGAGCTTTATTTTTGCCTTGTATCTACTGATTTTCTGGGACAAGCAACGCACAAAGTGCCTTCCGCCAGTCAGGTTTTGGCTTGTTTGATGATTATCCTTCTACCTCTTAAAGAACCTTTTAGTCTGTTAGTTGACTTATCATCTTTAAATAATATCTATTGAATCTCTCCCTCTGTGCCACTTATGATGAGGACACTGGCATGCTTACATAACTTGATAGCATCTCTCCCTTTCCGTTCCCTAATTAGGTAAACTGTATTATTATTTCCACATTGATGTTGTATGTAATACTTGCATTCCATTTTGTAACCATAATTTTCGCACAAAGGTAGGCTTAGTTTTCCTGATATTTAGCAAAAGCCAAAAGATACAATAAGGAACGCTTGAACACCCACGACTTAAATCTTACATTAACCTTTTACTTATGCTTATCCACCCACTAATCTATCGCATGATATTTACTTCCTGTTTCAAAGAAAGATGAAGACATCTACACACTTCTTCTTCTGTCAGCATGAATCTCATGAACAAGGACTCAGTATTTGTTCAGTGTCCTTTTTGTGATGTAAAACTTACACACAATGATTTTTTTTCAATGTCCAATGCTCACCACCTCCTTACTGAACTGACCTTTTTCCATTAGATATTCTGGCTGGCTAAAATTGTCTTTTGTGATCTTCAGTACGAGCTCATGGGGACATATAATCCCCGGACTGTGCCGGTTTGAACATATCCATCCTTTGATTTTACACTTGAGTGGGCACAAAACTCTCAGGTCACACTCTTCTCCTTGAAGGATTCTGGGGGACCCTGCTCTCCTTGAATTCTGCTGTAGAGAAGTTTTCTGAACTGTTTTCCCCTTACACGTGTTGGGAATTATGCTAAGATGTGAATCACCTCTGGGTCTTGTTAAAATGCAGATACTGACTCCAGAGGCCGGGGCTGAGGTTCCGCACCTCTACGGAGCTGGTCTCTGGAAGCTGTCTGTGTAGGTGCTGATAGACTGCCAGAACATACTGCAGTGCCAAGTGCCCCCTGATTCTCAGGGAGGCTGCCCACCCACCCAGAGTGGGCCAGCCCAGTGCCCAGCGCAGGCCTCCCTGTTTGGGGCAGTGAGCTCCACCCCTGCCCTCGGAGGGACGTCTCCAGGTACACAGATGTCCTGCCACCACCCAAGTCGCATTGTTACCAGCAGCCCTACATGTGGACGGGGCTGAAAGGTGCTAGCCAGTTTCACCAGAAACTGATGCCATTTATATTCTGATTGACACAAGCAAGACCCGAGAGGAAAGGGAAACGGAGACACCGCTTGAAGCAGCATCAGTATTTGGCTGGTCAGGAGTCGCGGCAGCCCCGAGGGTGGCCGGCAGAGTAAGAAGAACATGGGGTTTGAACTCAAGGCATTCCCGGGTGTGAATCCCAGGCTCTGGTCAGACAGGTGCGTGACCCCTGAGCTAGTTAATTAACATCTCTTGGCCCCAGAGTGCTTATATTTAAAAAGCGGAGATTATAAAACTCCTTTCACAGGACTGCTGCGAGGATTAAGAGAGAGAGTTTTGAGGCATGGAGCACAATAAATGCTGTTTTCCCTCTTTGCTGAGCTCCAGCCGGCTTAAAGGCTTAAGTGCATCCCTGGTAACAACGGGCAGGGTTTATTTTTGAGTTCAGAAGGCCCCCCGAAGCCTTATGCACAAAGGTATTGTTATTCTGTGGCATGCCCCCCATGAATATGGATGTCCCAGGCAGGAGCGGGAGAGAAGGTCTTCCTGGGAGCATCTCACAGCCGTTCATTCTGTATCATCCTTGAGATGTTCTTTGTGCTCTAAATCCCCCCAAGCTCAGTCACAGCATTTTCTAGAGAAGTCCACCCAGTTAAGGCAGCTGCGCATCAGCTAGCCGCTCTCTGAGTCCTGGGAGGGGCGCCAGGGCTCCGTCAGGACCCCGTCTGGAGGGGGACAAGGCAGAGCCCCTGCTCCGTGCGGGACACATCCGGGGGCTGCTGTGTCCAGAGGGGAGGAGCACAACTACCACAGAGAAATCCGCCGCCACCTGATGCGAAGAGCTGACTCACTGAGAAAAGACCCTGATGCTGGGAAAGATCGAGGGCAGGAGGAGAAGTTGAGGATGAAACGGTTGGATGGCATCACCGACTCAATGGACTCTTATAATTTTTGATTTACGAACATTATTGCCACATTATTTGTTGCAAAAATATACATTATTGTTTATGATAAAAAAAGACATCCATCGTAAGCCTGACTTACTTGGCTGATGTAAAGGAGGTGACTTGCAGAGTGCAGAAGTCCTGCGGCTAAAGAGCTGCGTTTAATGTCGTTTACTGGGAAGTGGGGGCAAGTTAACCCAGAGGACTGGCAAAATCGGGCCTCTCGGACTTACAAACAAGTGTACAGCTCTTACCAAATCAGGAAAACGGTATGGTATTTCTAATCAGGCAAGTATTTCTCAAGTGGGAATGTGTTTCTTCAAAAGGGGGCAGCCGAGGTCTCGCTCACTTTTCTCCAAGTGTCAGCTGAGGAGCTGGCTACACATGCAGTTCCTGGGCCCCATCCCGGAGGGCCTGAATGAGAACACCCTGGGATAGGTCCAGGAACCTGGATTTCCCCCCACCCCACACACACTCACCTAGTTGTAGAAATGATCAAAGGCAGATACAAAGGAAGGTGTAGAAATTTAGGGAGTATCTGATATGTTTCCAAGTTGAGAAAGAATTTAAATAAGACCCAAGGTTTTCAAGCAACATCAAGAGAAAAGACTATCTGTGTATACAAATTACTAGAAGAGTGATCTTTTTCTCTTGAAAAAATGATCCTTGAAAAACAGGGACCAGTGAGGATCTGTGGCTGGTTTTTCTCAGAAATACAGGGCCCTTCTCCAGGCATGCAGGGAGTTGTTTTGCCCAGCCTGGGAGAGAATCAGAAGTGAATCAGCCAATCTCAGAGAAGAGGAAGGTGATGCTCTGACAGCCCAGATGACTTGCCCAGGACGAGGTGGGGAGAAGGGACCTAAGACCGTGGCTCTGGGCCTTGTCCTCCCCTATAAGCACCTAACCAGCCCCTGAGCCTGCCTGAGGAGAGGCCAACAGAGTCTAAGTTTCCAAAATGAAATCCAATTATAGTGCCAAGTGGACTGTCAGGTAGTAATCCAATGTTGGATGCAGGAGCCCCCCAGCACCCCATCCTGCCTCCCTCCCGTCTCTGTCCTGCTCACGGGACTCCCATGAGGATCCACTGCTCAACCTACCCACGACTGAATACAAACCAAGACAAAGGCTTCATTCTTCCCAAAAGCCGGCAATGCAAACCAAAAGATGAGGCCAAGAAAAACTGAACACTGTAATTAAAAGGGGCCTTACCTGACTTGATTCCTTTAATGGGGTACGTGGCATGGGCCAGAAAGTTGGGATCGCTGAACATATCTTCCTCATAAACCACAAAGCGCAGAAATGCAAGGTTGGGGTCATAAATCTCAAACGTCACCTTCTCCTGCATTGGGGTCCAAACAGGGCTGAGGCCATTGTCATCTGGAAGAAGATCCAGGCTCTTTCAGGGGCCCCATTTGTCCTGCCCCCTCTCAGCTCACCATCTCTACACCCAGAAGCTTTGGATCTCCTGAGCAGCCGTGTAGATACACATCTAGGCCAAGATCTGATCTTTTTTCTTTTCAGTGGCATCACAGACCTGGCGCTCAGTAAGCAGAGCGGACGGGAGCACCTCTCCTTAGAGCTCTCCCATCTCAGCTCCCTGGCACGTGGGAGGGATGGGCGGTGGACCACAGAGCAACAACATGTTTGTAAGAAAGAAAAGACACGGTGGGGGCCACATCCCTCGTCTGATGAGGGAGGTGGGCCAGGCTCTGAACAGGGGGTGGGTTCTGGAGTCCCTGGGGAGAGCCAGGCTCAGGGAGCAGGGAAGAGAGGCAACCTTCACCCTCCACAGGGCCAGCTTCACCAGCCAGTCTGTGAGCTGTTACCCGCTGCCTTTTACCAGGGGCCAGTGATCCCAAGCCTAGAAAGGCCCCCAGTTCAGTTCTTCCCAGGCTTCAAGTGGCAGAACAAGCCATTTCTCTGGGCCTCCCCGCCCACTGTTGGCTCAGATCACCCAAGTTTGGCTGCAGCCTTGGGGGCGGGTCAGCCGCATCCTCTCTGAGCCCTGGACTTAGGTGGGGGCTGATCCATAGAGGGGACATGCCAGCGTGATGGGCACAGGGAGCCGTGGCCTCGCCCAGGCCTCCTGACGTGGGTGACGGGCTGAGAAACACGGCGGTGGGTCCAGCTCTTGAGTCCCGCGGCCCTCCGTGGCCCCTCCGAGCTGCCCACAGAGGGCGAGGGGACGATGGGAAAGACCCGGCCACCAGCGCGTTAGTGAAGCCCCGCCGACCGGCACCCCCGATGTGCGACTCAGCTCGCCTGAAGTCTCGGTGAGGGGAGGACCCCGGCAACTTACTCACAACTGTCGTCTTGAACTTGCTGTTGTCATACTCCGCGCCGCATATCTCCACCTCCACAAAGGGACACGCGATGCTTCGTCCGGGTTTGGGGAGATGACGGGCCCCCAGGACCTAGGGCCCCAAGAGCCAAGTGTTAGAATTCTCCGCCCCTCCCCCGCACGCTCCACCCTGGGCAGAGCTGGAGAGTCCTACATGGGTGGGTTCTGGTTTCCTCATCACTGGTGAGGTGCCACACCCTCCGGGAGCAGACACCCCCACCGCTTCCCTGTTGTGGACGAGGAAACGGGCGAGTGGAGTCAGGGTGGAGTCCCAGAGCCGGCAAGGATGAGCCAGGATCGGAGCCCCACACCAGACTCAACAGGGAGACCTCCCTGCACACAGAATCACAAACACCCGGGGGACACCTACAGAGACAGAGTTCGCTCAGTTTCCCAGCTCCTCCAGGGAAAGGATGGGGAGAATGTCCAATTCTTTTTGTAATGGGCCTTTTAAGACCTTTGGTCACATATGCCTCGGTGTCTCTTCCTTAATCTTGTGTGTGTGTGTGTGTGTGTGTGTGTGTGTGTGTGTTAATCACTTCAGTTGTGTCCAGCTCTCTGAGACCCCATGGACCATAGCCCGCCAGCCTCCTCTGTCCATGGGATTCTCCAGGCAAGAACACTGGAGTGGGTAGCCATTCCCTTTCCCAAGGGATCTTCCCAACCCAGGGACTGAACCTGGGTCTCCTGAATTACAGGCTTCCACCAGGGAAGCCCCCTTAATCTTACGAGAAACACAATTCACTTCCCTACCTTGCATAGTTTCCAAACAGGAGAAAACAGAAACTCTTCACTAAGAGACAACACACTGTCTAAAAGTTGGCTCTGTTAAAAAAAGCCCACACCCCGAAAAGGCCACACCACAGAGAAAACCCCTCCCCAAAAAAAAGAACAGAGACACATCGCACACCTGTTATATCTCTCTCTCTGACCAGATGCTGACCCTGCTGATCCCAGCAAGAGGTGGATCTGTAACTCACCCCAACAACAAGGGGAGGTGACCACGACGGACCTGGGGAGACGCCCTCCCGCCTCTCTGCCCCTGCAGCGACCCTGGCAGGCACCACAGTAAAGGTCCTCAACCGTGTCTGGGTGTTGACGGCTCACACGGAGGCCAGGCAGAGGGCGCGGCCTTACCTTGACCGTCAGGGTCATCAGGATCTTCCTCTGGGATTCGGGAGGCAGGGGGTCGTACTTCTCCGCCCTCATGCTCTCAGGCTGCAGGACGTAGCCCGTCCGCCCGTTGAGGGAGAACAGGGCATGGTTCATCTGCATGTACTTGTCTGGGGAGGGGAAAGAGCGGCTGCTGAGAGCAGGGCAAGAAAGGGGGCCCCAAGGGGCTTCTCCAGAAGTCATCAGAGGCACACCAACAGATGAATGGATAAAGAAGATGTGATACATGTATACACCGGAATACTAAGCCATAAAACAGGAACAAAACTGGGTCATTTGTAGAGAGGTGGATGGACCCAGAGTCTATCACCCAGAGTGAAGTAAGTCCGAGAGAGAAAAACAGGTATCAAATACTGATGCATATATGTGGAATCTAGAAAAACGGCACTGATGACCCTAGGCCAGAAACAGAGACGCAGATGTAGGGAATGGACATGTGGACACAGCGGGAAGCTAGGATTGACGTATGTTCACTGCCATCTATAAAACAGATAGCCGGCGGGAATCTGCCGTGTAGTCAGGGAGCTCTGCACGAAGCTCTGCGGTGACCGAGAAGGGTGGGGTGGGAAGTCCAAGAGGGAGGATGTATGTCCCCAGACAGCTGATTCACTTCACTGTACAGCTGGAACTAACGCAACACTGCAAAGCAACTATACCCCAATGAAAGGTAAAAATCATTTGCGGTGGCTGTTAAAATAGGTATCTCACTTAAAACTATGGGTTTAAAAATTCATTAGAAACTCATGTTATTGGAAGAAAATTGGATTAAAAAAAAAAGCTCACACTGGGGACAACTTTCCGAGTACGATACAAAGTCCAGAATGTACTCAAAGCTAAACATTTTTACACAGGAGAAAATTTCCATAGAATCTGACATGCTTTAGAAAAATCTGTTTTAGTCCACTGACAGGTAACTTTAACCTATTAAGAAATCTGATAACTGCTGTAAATACCTACACCCTCTTAGAAAAATAAGAAGTACAAATATAGTCTGCAGAAAAGAAAATGCCTATGTTTCTTAAGGATATGAAAAACTGGTTAACTTCTCTGTTACTCAGAGAAGTTACCAGTACGGGAAGCTCTGACCAATGTGACACCAGTTTTCACTATCAAAGACAGGCGTTTGCTAAAACTAAGTTGGTGAAGTTAAGCCAGAAAGAGTTTTCATTCCCGCCCACAGTCTCCATGGAGGCGGTCTAGCAGAGTGTCTTTGCCCAGACACTCCTGGATACCGGCGTGCAGTGGTTTCGCTCGGGGCCAAGTTGCTCAAAACTGTTGCATCCGCCCTGCACCACAGGCGCTCCCACGTGTGAAGGGAGGTTCACACAAGGTTACGGGGTCAGTGCCATCTGCAACAGCAGTGAAGGGAAGTCACCTCGGCCCGCCTCGGCAGGGCTCCATTTGAGGACATGATGGTTCCACTCAGTGGGCTCTGACGCAGGCACAAAAACAGCGCAAGAGAGACAGTACTGATGAACAGGTCCTCCAAAGAGGCTGGGAGAACCACCACAGTGCCTCTGCACCATGCACTGTAATTAACGCTACCCTTTGCGTGAAGAAGTTGGGCATGTTGGCTTTTTCCAGCAGATGATTATCTCCAGAAGAGAGCCCGAGCAGAAAGCCGCCAGAAAGGGATGGCCCCAAAGAGGAGAGGGACCAGGACATAGCCACGGGACACCTGGATCCAGCTGCACCTGAAGCTCCACTCCTAGACTTTTAAATTACGTGAGCAAACGCATTTCCTTTCCTCCCTGACACCAGACCGACCCCGTGTCTGTCACTTACCATCGAGAAGCCCGCCAAACACAAAGGCCTGGCATGGCCTGTGGTCCCCTTCACCGCTCCACGCAAGGGACGGGACCTCACGCTAGCACACTGGCTGAACTCTGACGGCTCCTAAGAAAAGCTACGTGCTCCGGCCACCACATTGCACTGGCGGCCCCAGAAGAATGTGCCTGGAATGATGCCCGTCATAGATTTACTGGCCACAATCAGCCCCCTTTACCTGGAGTCTGGAAATTGAGCGCCACCATCTGGGAGCCACACAGCCAGAGGCGGAAGGGGTCATAGTTGGACGAGTCCACTCGCTGTCCTTTGGGGTAAACACGGGTCAGACCCTTTTGATTGTATTTCAGGAGATCGCCGGGCTTCTGTCTGACGATGCTGTCAGCCTTCGTCTCCACGAAGGAGCGGATCTCTCGGAAGTCAGGGTTTTCTGCACAAAGACAGGGAGTCAACATTTATCCTGTGTCTCCTGAGTTTTTCTTAATGCCACTGGCAGATGTGCAGGTCGTCAAATGCAACCCAGAACCTCTCTCGGAGAAGACGTTCAAGTGGTTGTGACGATCCCGATGTAACTGGTTCTGCAGTGGGCTCTTGCCCTCTGGAGAAGTCTCAGAGATGAAAAGGCAGCCCAGGGTTCCCACTGCCTCTTAGTCTAGGATTAATGTAATCTGCTTTTTTTGTTTAAAACTACCAGCAGCCTTGTGCAGGAAACCACCAAAGCGATACAGGATACAGTTATAGAAAGGTGTGGTGCAGGAAGGGATCAGCAGGGAGGAGATCTGAGGAGCAGAAGACACAGACAGAGGCCTGGCTTCCCCAGCAAAGATGTCGCAGACGTGAGATGAGTGAACCCAGCATCTTGATGGAGGGAGAACCGCCCTCCCGCAGGAAGGGGAGAGAGAGAGCAGACGGAGCGCCTGTGGAGGGACAGTGAATGGGAAGCGGCGTAGAGGGAAACGCAAACAATTCTTGAACTGTTTGGATAAAGCTCTGCTTTAGGTGGGAGAGCTCCTAAACATGCCGGGCCTGGCCGATTCCAGTTAAGAGCTCCAGCCTCTTGCCCTGGACATCGAGAGGTGCCCAGGGACCAGCCTCCGGGTGACCATGAACTCCGGGGTTTAGGACTGCCTCCCTCTCTGCCCTGGAATTACAGGTTCTCTGGTCTGCCCTGGAATTACAAGCAACTACAGGAGTTGCTTGAAAGGGGGAAGAAAATATGACTAGGACCACTATTAGTGCAAAGAACCTGCTGCTTTGGAAAATGTAGTCAAAGATCCACTTTTGAATTTTCCTGCAGCAGGCCTCCAAAGATACCGAGGTCCTGACCTCTGGATCCTGTAACTATGTTCTTTCAAAGGGACTTGGCAGAGGGAGGGCTTGAAGTGGGGAGATTACCTGGCCCTAAGTGAAACTTTGTACTTGAGAGGTTGAGGGCGATGTGACTACAGAGAAGAGAAGGCAACACGACCACAAAGGTGGGGACTGGAGAGACGTGGCCACAAGCCAAGGAATGACAGTGGCCACCAGAAGCTGCCGGAGGCCAGGACCAGATCCTCTGGAGGGAGCGGGGGCCCTGCTGACACCTTGATTTCAGCTCAGTGATACTGACTTTGGATTTCTGTCCACGACTGCGAGAGAATAAACATATGTTGTTTCTGCCACCAAATGTGTAGTAATTGGTTATGTCGGCAGGAAAATAAACAACCAATCCACCCCTTAAGAGGGTTTCTCCTTCTAAAGATACCAGGAGGGCCTGCTTCACCAGCATCCTGGCCCCAAGGACACTCTGACGGGGAGGTTCCCACTTGGCACGCAGAGTGAGCAGGTACCACGGTCACCATGCTGCGTGACAGCGCCAGGCTCGGAAAGGAACCCGCGTTCGCCAAGCTGGGGAGGCGGTGGCGGCAGACGTACCAAGGTTGTCCTTGGTCTTGCTGGTCGGCTTGCAGTAGACGACGAGGTCCGAGAGCTCGATGGCGATGGACTGGTTCTTCTCCCAGTACTTCATGTTGTTCTCCTGTGTGGAGCCAACCGTCTTTAGTGTCAGCTCTCAAGCTGGCCCCTGGGAAGCCCCACTCTTCCAGCTCACCTGGCGGGTGCCCTCCTCCTCGGAGTCTCTGCCCTGCTTTCCACTTGGCCCTCGCGCATGTGCAAATCACAGTTGCAGAGAGTTTTCCCTCCCGCAACCCCCGCCCCGCTCCCCGCTCCCGGCTTCCTCTGCCTGCAGAAATTCTCCACCACGCTGCCCGACCCAGGAGCAGCGTGAAGCTCAGTCTCTGACCGCGGCTCTCGAGAACACCGGGGAGAGGGCTCTTCTTCATCACCGCCTCTCTCCTTAACCCTCTTGCTCTCACCCGCCGCCCTATCCGGCCCCCCAAAACCACTCTTAGAGCTCATCCAAACTCCCAGTTCTCCAGTTCGGGATCTCCGCAGACCACGGCAGCTTTGTGGCTCCCTCACTCCCCTGAACCACGCACTGCTCTGTGCAAAGGGCCCCTGGGGACGAGACCACACGCCGTGGACTTGGGAGCCATTCGCCCCTGGAGAACCCCACGGTCAAGTCCATCCCCGTGTCGTGGACAGGCCACTCACTCCACTCCAAACCAGGCCTCCCTCTCAAGCCCTGCCAACCTCGGACTCATCCTCCCAGGGGCCACGGTGGGGGCGGACCCCCTGGGAGGGTTATCACATACAGGTGGCAACATTCAGCATCTGGGGTAGGGGGGCGCTGCCTGGCTCCAGGCATCGCACACTGAGAGCTCGACGGATGCTATCTAAGCCCACCCATCCCCAAGAGGAAGACCGTCTCCGTTCCTCAAAGAACCCGCAGAACACAGACAGGGTGAGCGGCTGACCCCAGGCCCCGCAGCAGGCCCCGGCCGAGCCCAGAGGCCGAGCGGCGGCCTCATCCATGTCCCCACTCTGGATCCGTTGCTTCTGCACATCCTCGGCCACCAGGTGCCAGAGGAGACCTCTCTGCAGCGCCCCCAGGTTCACACGCCGGGTCCCCCTGAACCACAGCACAGCCCGTCCTGGCCCCTCGCCCTTTTCCCTCCTCGGCAGGCCCGTGGGTCCCTCTTCCTCTGGACCCCGCCGCCTCACTCCTTCTCCAGGACGCCTTCCTGGAGACCTCCATCCGGGACCAGGAAACAGACGCTGCGTCCCCCACACCTTCCGGAATGCCCGCAGCCTCACCCAGCCTGGCACCGTCCCTCACCCGGCTGTCCCACGCTGGGGCCTCTCAGCACGAGTGTCCAGACCCGTGTCCACCCCCCCAACCCCGAGACGTGTCCCTGGGGAGCAGGACCCCTCGCGGGTGGTGAGTCCTCAGGTGACAGGTGGTGACAGGAGTGTCCCAGCGGTTACCCAGCGGGGACTGGACTCGGGGGCGCGTCTGAAAGCTGGCCTGAGTTGCTGGCTTTGCCAAGTGGGCCAGCCATCGAGCCTCTCTGCCTCAGTTTCCCCATCTGTATGACGGGGCTAACGTGGGTCCCTCCCTGCTGCAGCTACCGTGCGAATTCAAGAAGGCGGCCTCTCTCCTCGCTGGGCGTGTGAGAAACAAGGGTACCACACGGACTGCCCCAGTGATGCCTTTCCAGGCCAAGGACGGGAGCATCCACTGTTCAAACAAGCGGGGGAGGATAGCCGAAGTCTGCTGTGAGAACGCCTTCACCCAGGACCGCCGACAAAGGTCCCGAGGCCCCGGCGAACCCCAGCAGTGACCAGCAAACAAGCCCGTCACCTGAGCCCAGGCAGCAGCCACCTCACCGGGGCGGATCAGAACGTGAAATCTGCCGAGTTCATCTAAGCACACCCAGCTTCCACCAGCCGCTCCCACACGCCCTGAAGCCCCTAGGCACAGGACAAGCTGCACCAGTAAGGCTCAGAGCGCTGGCGTGGGGGGCGGGCATGGAGCAGAGACGGCATCAGTCAGCCCGTGGCCAAGGCTTCGGGGCGACTGAAGCCTCAGCTCAGCTCAAACCTCGGGTGTGCTCTCCTAGTTCCTACGTCAACCCGGCGTGGTCTTCTTGGTACACAGTCTTCACCATAGGCTGTTGGGGAGAGGAAACCCTGGTAACGACACAGCTCGCTTCTAATGACAATACCACCACTATAAAGTCAGGGTAGGGCGAGGCAAGCCACACCGGTGTGGCTTGGACCTCTGGCCTCACAGAACACAAAGCAACGAAAGATTATAGAGCAATCACTTTTTCTCTCAACTTCAGCAGAAAGCAGTATCGGTTCAAGTTTAAAACACCAGCTGCTACTTCAAAACTGTGCAACAGTTCCTTTCCAGGCCCGTAGAGTTTTGCCCAGAGGCTGTCCCAGAGTTTGGCGTCACAGCACACTTCATTGGTCAGGCTTTGGAAACTGACTAGACAGACCTCAGTGACTGATCTTTTGCCATCGACCGAAAGAAGCCAGAGATGATGTAAAGTTACAGGGCCCTGGGCAGGTTCCCAGGGCCTCGGTGAGGAGCTCCCAGGAGTGAGCTGAGGACACAGCTCATGCTGGTTTCCCAGTGGCAGGATGGATCCACCTTCCTCTGTCCCAGACCAGCCACTCCTACAGCTGGCTGTGCCCAGACAGAACCCTGGTCACTTCTGCTGCCTGATTTTGTTTTGTTTTTTGAACATTCATAACCAATATGAGAAGGCTCCTCTGTCCATGGACTTCTCCGGGCAAGAATACTGGAGTGGGATGCCATTTCCTTCTCCAGGGGCTCTTCCTGACCCAGGGATCAAACCCAGGTCTCCCGCATCGCAGGCAGACTCTTTACTGACTGAGCCACCAGGGAAATCACCACGAGAAGACTTAGCAGATGTAAACGCTACTTTAAAAGGAATGTAGACCAAAGGCAGAGAACAGCAGCCTTGAAGAGCTAGGCTTAGCTTCAAAACCCTTCCTCTGGTGGGGAATGAGGGAGACAATCTTCCAGCAAGAAACGGAGAGAGCCAGGGCTCCCCAGGTGGTGCCAGTGGTAAAGAACCTGCCTGCCGATTCAGGAGACCTGAGACACGGGTTCCAGCCCTGCGTTGGGAAGATCCTCTGGTGGAAGATGTGGCAACGCACTCCAGAATTCTTAGGCCGGGAGAGTCCCCATGGACAGAGGAGCATGGAAGGCTACAGTCCATGGGGTTGCGAAGAGTCAGACACGACTGAAGCAACTTAGCACGCAGAAAGCACCAGGCCAGAGGGTGTCACAGCCATGCCATCTCCCCTCCCAGCCCCACACAGGCTTGAGTGCCTGAGAATAAGTCCACAGGAACGGTGGCTAAACGCTTTCTCATTAGCCTGTTTCTCTATTTGCAGCCAGAGCGGCCCAGAACATCATACACAGGCGACGCTCAGGAGGACCACCAGCTGGCAAACAGTGCCAACCAGATCACAATGACAACCACTCAACCGACAATGAAAAACACACCTGGAAGAAGATGGGCGAAATCATCTTTCAGATGAACCCCAGGACAGTGGCGCCCCACCCCTGTGCCTCGGAGAGGTACTGCACTGGAGGCGCAAGAGCAGATAAGACGGCCCCAGAAAGGTGGGAGCAGACTTGCTGGCCACAAGCTCATGGTTCATCCCAAGTGACTGACGTGATGGTGTGACAAGCCTTGCAAAGAATAAGGACCCATACGTAAGGCCTCTTGACAAGGATCTGGGATGGGAGGAAGATGGGAGGCATGCCAGGGAAGGTGCCCGTCCGGACAGCCCTCGACACAGAGTCTTGTAAAGAGGTCTTTACTCCAGGGTGTTGAAAAGATGAGTCCTGGGGCCTCTAGTGACCAGAGACTGGCCAACTGTGAAGTCGCCCCCAGCAGGGAGAAGAAAAGACCAGACCAAGTACACTGGAGGAGGGAGACTCATCGACTGTAAGCAGAGGCCAGAGGGGTCCAGGAGATCCTGAGAAAGTTCTGGAGTCAGTCCTTTGGGTCAGGACCTGCCTGAGAAGCAGCTGGGCACACGGGGAACCCTAAAGCTTCTTCCCGGCTCCGTGGCCACAAGAAAGGGCAGATAGCACCTTGCTCCATCATCCCAGAGATGGCAGCACTTCCTCAGGTCCTCCAGGCACGACAGCAGTGTGATGATGAAACACCACGAGACGCAGCCCCCCAGGAAGACCCACCGCCCCCTTCCAATCCGCAATGCTCCTGCTGTCTGAGCTCCCCTCCCTGCCACTCCCCCCCAAATTCTCTGTGGCTGCAGGACCTGCTCCTCCTGTGGCCTGGACCCACCCGCACCTCGGCAGAGGACTAGGCCCAGCGGAGCCCGGGTGCCCAGGCTTACCTTGGTGTCCATCTTCCAGGTGATCTCCCGGATGCTCTGGAACCACTCAAACAGCTCCTCCACGCTGTCAGTGGCAAACTCTACTGGAGGGTCGCCCTGCTTCTTGGGCTCCAAGATAAAGACGAAAGACTTCTGGTTCTTCCCGTGTGGGGCTTTTACTTTGGGAAAAGGATAACAAAAGTCCTGATCAGCCTGACAGAAGGCCAAGATGACCAAACTTCTAGTTCCCAGGTCACTTCTCTTACGACCCCAAGCTGACCATCACTGTGGATGTCAGGGCTGACTGGGACGTCTACCCTGGATCAGGTAGTGGTGTGGGTCTTAAAGCGTGTCTTAAATGTGAATGTGACCTTATCTGGGAATGGGGGTCTGCACAGATGTACAGAAGGATCTCAGGAGATCATCCCTGCCTTCCTGGAGGACCCTAAACCTGAGAACCAGTATCCTCATCACAGGAAGGAGAGGAAAAGGGAGCCCGAGACACCGGGGAGTCAGCTGGCCATTGAAGATGGAGACAGACTGCAGTAACGGGCGTAGGGCATGCATGGCCAGCAGCCCCGAGGAGCTAGGCATGGAATCGGTTCTCTCTGCAGAGAAAGTATGTTCTAGAAAGAGAAAATGATGGCTACAAGAGGAAAAACTAAAATCTCTGGGCTCATCTGCCAGGCAGTGCTCTAAGCAGAACACATCCCACTGTATCTTATTTCATACTCGTCACAGCTTTTTGGGGTGCTACTCCTGTTCTGCCTGTCTCACGGGGGAGACGACAGAGACTTGTTGAGGCAGAGGAACCCACGGAAGTCCGCAGAGCTGGCAGCGGCCAAAGCTGAGGCTCCACTCAGACCTGACTCCCCTCCCCTGAGCCACAGGCCTGCGCTCTGAAGATGCAGCCCAGGGTGATACGAAGGCAACAGCGGGGAGAACAGCGCTCCGAATGCCCTAGATCCCATGGGGCTGCTCAGTCCTGTCCGGCTCTTTGTGACCCCATGGACTGTAGCCCACCAGGCTCCTCTGTCCATGGAATTCTCCAGGCAAGAATACTGGAGTGGGTTGCCGTTTCCTTCTCCAGGGGATCTTCCCGAGCCAGGGGTGGAATCCGGGTCTCCCGCATTGCAGGCAGACAACCTTCTGAGCCACCAGGGAAGCCCTGGATCCAGCCCGTCCCATAACTCGCAGCGGAACCTCAGGCAGCTCCTGTGGTCACTACGGGGCTTGCTTTTCTCATCCGTTAACGGGAGTAAGAGTCCTTCTCCCACTTGCTGAGGCTAATTGACTGAAGGGCTGCAGTGGGCTGGCGTCGGGGTGGGAGGAGCAGAGGACACGGAAGCCAGCTCTGGAAACCTAGGCAGCCCCAGAGAAGCAAGCTGCTCCAGCTTCTTGCCCAGAAAGCCTCTCCTCACTGCCTCCTTCCATCTTAAAAGGCCCCAGAAGCAGCGCAGATCACACCCCTGCCACCACGGGCCCATTGAGGCTGTGGGCTCCCTCCTGCTCCAGGCTCCAAGGGCGGAGGCCAGGCTTCCTGATGCCCAGCTGAGCTGAAGGAAGCTGCAGACTTGGGGACGGGGGGGTTATGACAGGCGCAGGGTCTCACAGGGCCTGAGAGGTGGAGGTGAGCTGAGAGCCAGACACCCCCAACTCCACACTCCACTGCACGGATGTCTCAGCTCCTCCAAGAGAAGCCCAGGGAACCCAGGCGGCCCCTGAAATAAGGAAGACAGTGTTGGGAGTAACAGCAGCCCACAGCCGCCCGGCACTTGTTATGTACGCACCAGAATGTTTTCACACTTTACAGATGTTAATAGCGTGACAATCTATGAGACATAAAATGAAGTCATTGACCAGCCTGGCCCAGTACTCAGCTTCAGTACCCTAGCTGAGGCTAGAAAGCCCCACCCCCTGCCCGGGGCAGTCCAAAGGGGAGGCTGGGGGGCAGGGCGGGGACCTGGGTGGGAGTCCAGGCTGAGACCACATGTGCACATACCAACATTATAGATGTTGAGATTCAGGATTCCTCTGCAAAGGGACCCTAAGGGATTGTCTTCAATAATCTGTGAAGAAACAAGACAAAACTCACGTTCATCTTAACAGGAATAATAAAAAGATAACCAGTTTCCAAAGCACACCGTTTAGCAGAGACACTGCCTGTGGAACTGTTTAAAATGCATTTTCATTACAGGCTACGTCCACGGGGAGAGAGCTAAATAATGAAACCTGTTGCTGACGGGGACCCAGCGGCGAGTAGGTGCCGGCTGTTCAGCATTTCATTTCCCAACCTGTAAAAACGTGCCCTGTGCAGTCTAGGGCAGGTTTCGAAGTGTTTCCACAGATCTGGTGTCAAAAAAAACACCGTAGACCCTTTCTTCTGACATTACTATGAAATGGGACTGGCCTCCTTTTCCAGCCCAGCTCAAGAACCTTCTGTGGCTCCCTGATTCCTACAGAACCATCACCTAAGCTCTGCAGTCTGGCCTCCAGGCTTTCTGCTCCATCTGCCAGCTCTTCCTTCCACTGCACATTTTCCATCCCAGAGGCCAGATGAGATGGGAATATCTTGGTCTCTGGAAAGTTGGTAGAACTGTGTATCTGCCCATTGCATGGACCATCCCCACCCTCCACCGGGCTAATGCTGACTGTGGGCAAAGGGCAATGTGGTTCAGACACAGCTGGGAGGATCATGTCTCTGCCTCAGGCCAAGCACAGTTTCCACCACCACACCTTGGCTCAGGACACACCTCCCACCTGGAATTCCCTCCTGCCGGTCTCTCGCTGTTGAACTCTAACTTGACTTTTAACGCTCAAAGGTCCCTTCCTCCATGCAGCCTTCCCTGACTGCCCCAACTCTCTTAGAAGAAAGTCTAAGATTTCAGCCTCGGTGCACTGCTGTCACCTTGAAAGTACCTGCTCTTCAAGTTTTCTGAGCAAGAGGCAGGGAGGAGTAGAAACCAGGTTTGCAACGTCACCAGGAGAGCCTCCCCTCACCCCTCATGTGGGCCAGCTTGCTCACTCACACCGAACATGTTCTGAACGTCTGGCTGGCCAAGCTAAAAGTGTTTCATCTGCAAGTCAGTTTAAGCAAAGGACAAATTCCCTGTCTGGCCATTTTCACTCTGGGGGGAATCCTCCTGCATATGCAAAGCCTTCCAGTCCAGCACAACCTGATTTAACCTGACTGTCTGGTCACAGTGACTTTCACCCACAATTCGGGGACAGTCTTGATTTCCCCATCACTCTGCTGTCCCTGGTCCGGAGCTCAGGGCAACACATGCAAAAATGTGTCCACGGAGCCCCCAGAACAGGATCGGTGGGTCCTTCCTTGCTACAAACAATGGAGACTCACTTGCTTATCCGCCTCCTCCCCTTCCATTGGTGAAATGTCCTCGACGTAATTGGATGGGAAGTACTGCTGGATTCTGGTTCCATAGTCTCCTTTCCACCTACAGAAACACAGAAGGCATTGTCAGGAAGCCTGGGCCGAGCAGCGTTAACCCTCGTTACTGCTCGCTAGCTCCCTGCTGCTGGGGGCGGGAGGGAGGCGGCCAGTGACCGGGTGACCGGGGAGGGGGTCATCAGCTGTGGTCCTCTGCTGTTTCCACCAGCAGTGACTGCTGGGGCTCACCCTCCCCTGACCGTGATCCTAGTGTTTGGTCAGAGCCACCGTGTCCAAAGTTTCAGCGCTTTAAGTGGGCATCAGATACTGTACAAGACAAAAGCTTGGCTCTGCCAGAGGCCCAACCCCTTCAAGGACGGCTGTGAATTTAGAGACAGGGGTGGGGGTAAGGAAGGGTCTGCCGTCAGATAGTCTGGACTTGAGTCCCAGCTCCACCACCAACTGCACCAGTGCCCTGAGCCTCAGACCCTCCATCTGGTGCGGGGGTGGTCCCTGTGTCCCCCTCTTAGGACCTTACTGGGACCATAGGAGTTAATATCGTCTTGCATTTACATATAAAGCGCTCCATAGTGCTAATTCTTGTTATTCAGCTAAAACTGTGCCCCCACCCCTGACCTTCCCACCTTGGTAGCAACACTAATAACATGAGACATTATCAACATTTGTACGTGTCTTGACTCAAGCAAACTGGCCGCACCTCCAAGATGCCCCTAAGTCTGATGCCTGGACTGGATCCTCCTCCGAGCCCTCCCATGGCCCACTTTCTGCAGTCAGGGGGCTCCTTCCAGAATGCACCTCTGACCCACCACACCGAGGCTTTCAAAATCAAGCCTAGACTGTGTAGCTTGGCCATCATAATGCTCTAACCCAGGGACCTCAACTCCTGCCTGTCTCTGCCTTGAACCTGATATTCATCCCAGACCATCTGTGGCCCACTTCCCACATGGCCCTGCCATGCTCTCTACCTTCCATGCCATAGTCCATGCCCTCTAAAGCCACCTAACAATGTAAGACTCAGCCGCAGTCTTCCTCTTCCAGGAAGCCTTCCCTGACTGCCACCAGGCTGAGAGCTCTTCCTCTGTGCTCCCTGGGATCTTTCCCCCCGCTGTCAAAGCAGTCTACACCTTACATTAACCTACAGTTACCCATCAGTTTCCCCTCTACATGTGAACTTCCTCAGTCTTAATCAAATCTACACTTGGGGGCACTCACACATTACTGACTGGAAACATATTAACTCCAGAGGCATGAGTTTCTGCAAAAATCCCCTGGTCAATAATGTGTTAACAAATGTTTGCTGACCTGAATAAGCAGAGAGGACTGACTGTCCCATGGCCTGGTGGAAACAGAATTGCCAGCTGTGAGGCCATTTCACATTCTCTTTTCAACCTTCATTTCTCCAGACCCATCTCCAGCAAAGTCTGGCTGAATGGGCAACTGTGTGGACCACGTGCCCAGAACTGGGTAGTTTACACCTGCGGTCCAGGTGTAACTATTAATTATGCATTCCTTTCACTCTCAAATGCATCCCAGTTTAAACAAAAATGATTTGGTCCTGTAATCTGGAAGGATGCAAAAAAATGTGGTCCGAGGCAGGCATCCCCCTAGGTGGCAGTCTTGACAGCAGGGAGAGAATGAGCAATGAGGGCACCTCAGAAGGGCCTACGGCTTACCCTCAGTCCCTCGCTAACAGCACTTATTCCAGTCTCTTAACCCATCTGGAGACAAAATCCTCTGAGGATCCAGGTAAGAATGGGTTTGGAAAGAGGGTGTTCTTCAAATTAAAAGAAAAAAAAAAAACTTGGTAAACCTCTGGATCTAGCACATGAGTGCGTAAAGAGTGTGGCCTCTTGAATCAGAAGGCCTAGCTTCAAATCTCAGGCTGCTATGTGACCCTGGACAAGTTGCTGCTTCTCTGTGCTCAAGTGTCCTCATCTGTAAAATGCAGGGAAGAAGAGAAGCAACCTTAGAGGGTCACTGTGTGGGTCCCATGAATGACTTCAAATTAAGTCCTTAAGACGGTGCTGACACTGCTCCTTTTGAGTTGCTATTCAGATCTCTAGTCGGGACCGGCTATCTCCCGAGAGGAAGAAGCACCAATTTGTGAGGTGCCTGAGTCTCTGCAAGGACTCATGGTTATGAACAACCCTTACTGCTCTAAGACAGGAACCATCCCATGAAACCACCTGCTGAGGGAAGCTATGGGTGGGCAGAGAATTCTTCTCCCTGGGTGAAAAATAAAAGGGGGAAGAGAGAACTCAACTGTCACACACCCTGGTGCCTTTGGCCTGAAAATGCACCTCTTTAATCCACAATGGGGCCACTGCGCAGGGCATGGGACTATGCAATAGCACAAGAATTTGAATTTAAAACGCACAGGTTTGCATAATGGGAAGAGCCTGTGGTGTTCAGTAGCTGAACTTTGGAAAGCCTCATTCACTGCATCTATTCATTGCCCATGGGATTCTCCAGGCATGAATACTGGAGTGGGTTGCCATGCCCTCCTCCACGGTATCTTCCCGATCCAGGGATCGAACCCACTGCATCTTTTATGACTCCTGTGTTGCAGGCAGGTTCTTTACCACTAGCGCCACCTGGGAAGCCCACATAAAGCAGAGATAATCACAGTCATAACCCTGCAGGGCTGTAACAAGAATTTTCTTAGATAATGTATGAAAGCAATTAGCATAGTGCTTGCCACACAGTAAGACGTCAATAAATGGCAGCTGCTATTACAATTAAGATAACATGTAGTATGACATATATTAATAGATGACATTATCATAATTGCTATTGCTGTTTACCCACTTTTGCAAATAGAGCATGCGTTGGTCACGTCCCCAGAGAAAGCATGACACGTCAAAGTCAGGGCAGAACAAGAGATACGGGGGTCAGGGCTCAGCCAGCGCTTGAGTCTCACTGCTAGAAGGGGACAGGTCAAGGGGCCCAGCTGCCCTCAGCCTTACCAGCCCCCGGGCTCCTTGGAGACGTTGTGGATGAGGGCACCACGGCAAAAGCTCAGCTCATCGCTCTGCTTGGCTCTGTAATCATACAGAGCTTTCACGGTTCTCTGAGGCTTTCAGGGAAAACAAGAAGGTAAAGGGTCAGGCCAGGCAACAGAACAGGGAGGCAGCAGCACCTTCTGGCACATTTGGTTCTTCTCAAAACAGAGGGCGGCTTTAGCCCAGGGTTATGGCGCCCTCTGGTGGCGAAGGGCTTGCATTGCCAGGAGCCACAAGTTGAGTTCAGCCAGCCTCAGCATCCGTTCTTCCAATGAACACCCAGGACTGATCTCCTTTAGGATGGATNCTCCGGGAGATGGTGAAGGACAGGGAGGCCTGAGATGATACAGTCCATGGGTCGCAAAAAGTCGGACACAACTGAGCATCTGAACAACAAAGGGCACCTCAGCGTGAGCCGGTATTTCCTCCACAAAGGAAGGACATGCCTTTGAGGAACCACGCCCACCACCTCTGACGTTCTCACTACCCATGTTCACCAGCCCGCTCAGCAGTTCACACTCAACACCGTTTCTGGCGGCCCCCGAGCCTCACCAGCATTTTTACCGGTGATGCCCTGACATGCCCTGGGATGCTGGCATTCTGCAGTGCCCGAGGTGCTCCTCCATGAAATCACCAAGTGCGGCCTCACACGGGCAGAAACAGGACAGAACCGAGTGCAGAGCGCCTCCTCCGCGATTTGCTGCCGGGCAAACACAAACCCACAGCAAAATGAGCACCCACACAGCAAGCAGACGCTTAATAGGAAAACCTCCGAAACTGCCAACCTGCTTACATCAGCAGCATCCCCTCCTCCGACACAAGGAAGAGGGAATGGGGGTTTTCACAAGGAATCCATAAAACTGCTCCTCAAGAGCACAGGGCTCTGAAGTCAGACATGCGGTTCAAATCCTCGGTTTGCCCCTTCTGTCTGTTTCCCCATCTATGAAATAGGGATTGAAATACCACATACTTCACAGGGTCATTCAGACTATTAAGTGAGATAATACACGCAAGGATAAAAATGACAACAGTGAGTATTCCTTAGTTCTTACTATAGTCAAAGCCCTGTTTTAGACCTTTTATCTCCTGTAATCCTCATAATCCTAACAGGCAGGGAGTAGTGATGGTATCCCATTTTACAGACGAGGAAATAGAGGTCCAGACAGATGAAGCATCCGTGGCCAAAGTCAACCACCTGGCAAGTGGCTGAGCAGAGAAAGACTCCATTAATGTGAGGTACCACCACAATCTGTGCACAGTGTGGGTTCTGTAAGCTTTGCCATGGGAACTCCAACCAGAGCTTTTGAACCTGACTCCTCAGCCTTCAAACAGAGCCAGCTCTTCTGTGCACCCTGCTTCAAGGGCAGACTGGACAAGTTGTATCTTTCCCCATGAAACTCTACAAGTCGCTGCCAGACTCCAAGGCCACGAGAAGGTACAGCCAGTGGCAGAGAGGGTGCCACGTGACGGCGTCTGCGAGGAGTAAGTCTGCAGCCTGAGGGATGGCAGGAGGGGTCCTCATGTCAGGGCCCCCGTGAGCTGGAGAAACGAGCCACCCAGCGCGTGACCAAGCAGGCATGTGGCACCGCAGTGGCTACAAGCGCATGTCCGGGAGCATCCAAATCCCAGCTCCACACTTACATCAGCCATTCAACTACTGTGTACCTCAGCTGTCTCATCTGTACAATGGGCACAAAAATGGCACCTAGTGCCTGGGGCTGCTAGAGGTAATGAGCCATCAGGTGCTCAGCTCAATGCTCGCTATGCAGTCATCAACATGTGTTACCTGTCAATACTGACCTCATCATTCCAGTTCTAAGAACTCATCCAAAGGACGTAAAGAGAAAGACACAAAACCTCACAGGTGAAGAAATCATTTTAGTGTTGATGAGAAGAGCTCAGCCTAGAGACAACCCAAATGGCCACTGATGGAGACACAGCTAAAAGGCCCAGTTACCTAGAATAGTGTACAGCATAAAAAATATTCTCTTTTTAAGTTACAGTTCTACTCCGGGTTCAGTTCAGTTGCTCAGTCATGTCCGACTCTGCGACCCCATGGCCTGCGACACGCTAGGCTTCCCTGTCCAGGTACCCCATCAAAATTGCGTGGCTCAACAAAAAATGGTCATTAAGTAGATCAGCAGTGAATAAACTCACCTGTGGCCAAGCAGCAGGTGAACGAAGAATAGAAATGGTAGGTGCTGGGGTGGGTGCTGTAAACACACCTCCCAGCGGACAAGGACCAGTGGGGATGGACACCCACAGGTGCAGACGGCTACCGCTTCAGGATGGTGAGACCAGGCGGGACGGTTTTCCCTGCTTTTAATTTCCCTTTCCATTGTTACATCATTTTTCAATCACAAGAAGAATAACTGTATTTTGAGGCACTCGCCATGGTCTAGCAGCTTGTACTCAAACTCCGCATATGATCATGTTTTACTAGGCTCATTGGATATAGGAAGACTTCCTCTACATACCGTGGTATAGTTACCAGGGTTTAATAATGGGGAGATTTCACATCAAACATCCCGACTACTGGCTTGTCTTGAGAAGTCAGAAGACCCTGCCTGGTCTCTGAAATGGCAGCTGCTGACGGGGGTGGCTGCTCTTGAGATGGGTGCATTCTCGGTTTACCATGATCTCCACCATCCCCCGACATCTGCCTGACGTGAGGCCATGTCATTCTCATAACCAGAGCATCTGTCAGTTCTAATAAATGCTTTTTTTTTTCTATTTGGCTAAGTCCCCTAAGGCACTTCACACCCGGTTCCATGCACCCACAATTTTTCAAGACTTCACTGCTTGCTGAAAGGGATTTGCATTGGCCACGGAGTTATACGTTTAAAAGAAAATCTCTGATTGCCGCAGAGCCGGCCAGCAGGGTGTCCCTTCCAAAGCGAGAACTGTGCACTCATCACAGACAGGACGGCCCCGCCAGACGGAAAACTCGGCAGCACTGCTCCTCTGCAGGCTCCAGCTGAATTTAAGATGAAACCGGGAGCTTCAGGCAACAGTAAAACCCAGCCCTACCTGCGTGAAATGACTCAGCAGCCAGGGTGGGAATACGAGATAGCCTGCGCACGGCAGAGGGGTCGCTGAACCAAATGGAATTTATAAACACACCACAGGCTCAGTCAGTGAGCAAGGAACATCTGAGAAGACTCTTAATTAGAAGCTGTTGGGCCCAAAGGTGGTTCATCAAACTTCAGAATTTTAGCAAGGCTCAGTCACATTTGGATGGAATTCTATCAACCTCTTCCCTGAAACTAGATGTCACATTGTCAATCATCATTTCTTCTCCCCTCCAAAAATTTTTGGGCCAAGTTTTCCAAAACATTCCCTTGCCCTGTTTTAACTGGGGGATAGACCCTACATCAATCTGTTTGTTGTTATTTAATCACTAAGTCATGTCCAGCTCTTCTGCAACCCCATGGCTGTGGCCTGACAGGCTCCTCTGTCTATGGTATTATCCAGGCTAGAATACTGGAGTGGGTTGCCATTTCCTTCTCCAGGGGATCTTCCTGATCCAGGGACTGAACCCACATCTCCTGCGTTGGCAGGTGATTTCTTTACCACTGAACCACCTGAGAAGACCCATGTCAGTCTAGTGACTAGGTAATAGTGTGAATCAGAAGTTTGCACTGTACCATTGAAGGATTGATTTCACTGGGATCCACATACATCCTGCTGACGTCATAGAGGGAGTTTATATCTCTTTCCTGAAAAAGAAGAGAGAAAAATAAATGGAATCATTCAAGCTCCTGGGACAGCCCTAACTTAGAACAAGACTTCTAGCCATCCTCATGGTTTCCTGCCCTCTAGCAGAAGAGCTAAAACCTCACTTTATTCACATTGTGGGTAGAGCCAGTAAGAAGCTATTAAGAAGTTCCCCAAAAGTTGGAAATCTTACCCCAGAATCAGAAAGGCCCCTATGCAGGCCTACCCCATGCCAGGCTCCATCCTCCTTTGTCAAAACACAAGATCTGAGATGCTCTGGTGTCCTGGAGCAAGCTCACCACTCTTCCTGACCCACGTTCAATGTCGGCAGCTTGAAACTGGCCACCACAGGAGTACTCACAGTGCAGAAATTGGCAAATGCCACAAAGCAGGGCTTCTCTCCGCAGAGCGGGCAGTAAACCTTCACCAGCACACGCTGGAGACCCCTCCTGCCCTTCCCCAGCCCCCATGGGCTGCACACCCACCCCACACTGCAGTCCTGTGCCTGCCTGCCCCCCACCTGGAACCCGCCTCCTTCACAGCTCCCCAGCCGCTCCGCCCCTGGCTGCCGTCCTACCCTCTGCAGGAGGCCCGCTCCCAACTCCCTGGCCCCAGTCTGATGCAGTGCCCACCCCACAGCGCCCCATCCTGTTCTCGTCTTCACTGTAACTCACCCTGCCCGGGAGCATCATATTTATGTGACTGTGTCACCCGCTCCCCTTTCTAGAACCTGAATGTCCCAAGGGCTCACGGTGTTCCACCGTGCTCTCCCAGCATCCAGACACACGGTTCCTGACGCGTGGCTGGTGCACAATCTCTTTTCACTAAAGTACTAAATCTATCTGATAGGAACTGGGACACGGTAATCAGACTGGCTCCCTTCACCGCCCAGAACCCCCCAGTGGGGACTTCCCTGGTGATCCAGATATCACTTCCACTGCAGGGGCTGCAGGTTCAATCCCTGGTCAGGGAACTAAGATACTGTGTGCTGCATGGCATGGCCCAAAAAAAGAAAAGAACAACTCTCCAATGGCTCAGAATAAAAGCCCCTGTGTGTGGCCCCACTCCACACGGTTCCATCCTTATTTAGTTCTGCCCCAGCCCTAGACCACTGAGGCCCAGCCATGCCAGCTTCTCCTCTTTGCCCCCACGCATGCTCTCACCTCAGGACCTTTGCACTGACTGTTCTTTCTCCTCCTCACAGCTGCAGGCTGTCTCCTCCACCTCCCAGCATGTCTGCCCACGTCTCCTCGTCAGCAAGCCCCTCCTGAGCAGCCCCGAGAACTGCGGCCCCTTCCCCATCATCTACCCACTTATCCACCTGTCTCAGTGTTGTTCTCTGGAGCACACAAGGGCTCACGGTGTTCCACCGTGCTCTCCCAGCATCCAGACACACGGTTCCTGATGCGTGGCTGGTGCACAATCTCTTTTCACTAAAGTACTGAATCTATCTGATAGGAACTGGGACACGGTAATCAGACTGGCTCCCTTCACTGCCCAGAACCCCCCAGTGGGGACTTCCCTGGTGGTCCGGATATCACTTCCACTGCAGGGGCTGCAGGTTCAATCCCTGGTCAGGGAACTAAGGTACTGTGTGCTGCATGGCATGGCCCAAAAAAGAAAAGGACAACTCTCCAATGGCTCAGAATAAAAGCCCCTGTGTGTGGCCCCACTCCACACGGTTCCAACCTTATTTAGTTCTGCCCCAACCCTGGACCACTTAGGCCCAGCCATGCCAGCTTCTCCTCCTTGCCCCCACGCGTGCTCTCACCTCAGGACCTTTGCACTGACTGTTCTTTCTCCTCCTCACAGCTGCAGGCTGTCTCCTCCACCTCCCAGCGTGTCTGCCCACGTCTCCTCATCAGCAAGCCCCTCCTGAGCAGCCCCGAGAACTGCGGCCCCTTCCCCATCATCTACCCACTTATCCACCTGTCTCAGTGTTGTTCTCTGGAGCACTTCTCATCCTACCAGCTGACACATGCTCTGATAGTTCTTCATCTCGTGTGTCGTCTGTCTCCCCCACTCTGGACTGTAAGAGCACGGGCACTGTCTGCGTCCACTCTGCAGCTTTGGACCCAGAGCCTTGCGCGGTGCATGTACGTGCTCGATAAAGGTTTGCTGAATGAACCAACAGGTGAACCGTAACCTCAGATGGGATATCCCACCGCGTCCCCGGCGGGTCAGCCACCCACCATGTTGTAGCGCTCCAGGAGCTCAGGGGTCACCGGGTAGCGCAGTTTCATCTTCCGGTAAAGCGCGTGCTTCTCGTAGTAGCTGACCAGCTCCACAAGGCTCTCGAAGTAGGCGGAGGTGCCCAGCACGAAGTGCCGGCCATCTCGGTTGATGCGACAGTGCTTCACCTTGCCCCTGGCCCTGGGGGGAGACCACGGGGCTGACATCCCGCAGCCGGGTGACAGCCACACGAGCCCACCAACAGCAAACAGCCCGGTCACCCATCCTGGGGCACCGAACAGACCGACGTGGTGGGACATCCCTGGGGCCCCAGTGGGTTATCTCCACACTTCCAACGCAAGGGGCACAGGTTTGATCCCTGGTCAGGATCCCAGGATGGCACATGCCACGCGGTGAGGTCAAAAGAGCATCTGAAGGGCCTTCCCTGGTGGCCCAGCGGCTAAGACTCTGCACCCCCAATGCAGACACCCTGAGTTCAATCCCTGGTCCAGGAACTAGATCCCACGTACTGCAACTAAGACTTGGCAAAGTTAAATAAACGAATAAATATTTAAGTATTTGAAAAAATATTAATTAATTTAAAAATAAATAGGTGAAGCCTTGAAGGCAGCCCAGTGTCCGGAACATCACTTGGGAACTCAACCTTTGGAACCCAGTGTTCTACTACCAAGAACATGCAGCGAAACCCAGCAAATGGGGAGATGGAGGGACAGTTTGATGAACGGGGTCTGACCCTCCCTCATACTGCTTTTGGTGGAAATTGGAGGACACAGGTGTCTCGGGGTAGCATTAACACCGAGAACCACGGCCCTGAGATGGCTGGTCCACACGGCCTGCCCACTGGCGGTGAGCAGCAGCGGCGGCTGGGAGGAGACCAGGGCTGCATCACCACCCATCTGGGTTGCCAGTGCTGCTGGGGTGCAAACTCCAGCTCCACTGCTAACGGGCTGCAGGTTTTCAGCAGGTTGTTCCATCGCCCTGTGCCTCAGTTTCCTCCTCCGAAAAGTAGGAATAAGGGTCACGCTCACCCCACAGAGTTGTGGGAAGATTAAATGATCAGTGTAAAACACATTACTCTCGGGAACACAGACCAGTGGCTGGCATGCTGAAAGCACACAGTATTAGCGCAGGCTGCTTTTGCTCTCGTTATTACTGTCTCCATCGTAGCTGACACTCTGGACAGAGGACCCTGGGTCCAGCGTCCACCTGCAGTTCCCCCTTTCTTCTCCCACCTGCCCTTCCCAGGCGCCTCTGCAGAATGAGAAGTGGCTCCAGCCCAGGGACTTACCTGAAGGTGATGGCGTAGGAGTCAGTACCTTCCCGCTTCCGGATCAGGAAGGCCCCATCCCGGGGGACCCGCATCAGCATGTCCTCCGCTTCTCCGCGGCTCAGCCCGTCGTAGTACCACCTGCAGCACAGGCCGAGGAAATGGCCAGGGGAGAGGCCGCTGAGACGCAGCGGAGGAAGACGTGGTGGGTCCCCGGGAGGCCTTAAGTACGAGCCTGGAGCCCACCACGGAAATTACACAGCAGGCCTCCCCATCTGAAATCCCTTCCAGAGACGGCGACTGTGAAAACGATCACCCAGACACAGCTCAGGTGAAGTATACGTGTGGGGAGTCTGCTTGGAGCACGAGAGAATAAATCAACTTAAATCTATAACCCCTCCCCGACCACTGACCCAAGCATCAGTGACACAGCCACTGCAGTGTCTCAGAAAATCAGAGGCAGAAAACACACACAGTGGGGTTTTAGAGGGGCTGGGGGTTAATTTCAAAGATGCAAAATAGCAAATTTTAAGGCCATCCACTTGAACACAGACAAGAAAAGTAAAAATCAAAGTTGTCACAGCTCTATGGCTTCCTCAGAAAGGTGCACTTGAGCAGGCTTCTGATTAAAAATTACTCTTTTCTTTTCAGAACTAGTTAACCCTTTGCAAGGCCTAACCGATAATCTCTTTACAATTTTTTTATTTTGCTTTTTATTTTGCTCAAACCAACAGGAATGAGCTCTGACAAGTAGAACGGTAACACCAGGTCAGAATTAGTCTCTGAAAAATCAAAGCCCAAGAACTCGGGACTCTGAAGACAAAGCAGAAGAAAGAATGGGAGGGGCGGAGGGAGAGGAAGGAGGAACCGGCAGCAGGTATCTGGACAGCGGCCGCCCGGGGGGGACTTAAAGAGACCCAGGTGGGCCCAGGCGAGGAGCCTCGTGGGAGCGCGGGCCCCAGCCCACCCGCAAGGCTGGCATTTCCAACTCTCGCCCCCAGAGCAGGGGCACACGTACGGCTTGGACTCGTGCGGGTTGGGGTTGGGCACGGGGTCGGTCAGCCGGAGCTCGAACTCGGCGCAGCGCAGGTGTGTCTCGCGGTAGTGCTGGATGAGGGCGTAGATGCTGGTGAACATGAGGTTGTCAGTCAGATAGTACTTCATGGTCCCGCCCTCCATGGTGGAGCGGATCCGGCAGTGCTGCACGCGGCCCGACCGCCTGCGGGGAGAGGGACCAGGTCAAAGCCAGCCGGCGGGCTTCTCTTGCACCTGGGCCAGAGCTGCAGCCGCGGCCCCCCGGGTGGACGCTGTGTGTGACCGCACAGGCCTCCCTCTGCTCTTTGAACACACCAGGGCTTCCATACAAGCTACTCCTTGAGCCTGGATTCCAGAACATTCTACCTACTTCCTCTGCCTGCTGTCCCCTTTACCTACATAACTGGTCCTCTGGAGCCAGACAGCCTGGGTTCCAATCCTGACTCTGCCACTGATGAGCTAAGTGACCTTGAACAAGTGACTTGTCCCCTCTGAGCCTCCCTATTATGCTCCTAGTGGTCCAACAGGGACAATGGCAGTATCCGCCTCACAGAGATCTCCTGAGGGTGAAACAAGATCACACACACACAGAACATGCCTGGAATGCTGCCTGGCACGTGGTAAACATGTTACAGGTGTTAGCTCTCACTATTATTTGTCTGTTGTTAATATTAGAACTTTTATCCTTCAGGTCTCAATTTAAACACCACTTCTTTCAGGAAGTCTTCCCTGATTTTTATCCCAACATCACACCAGATCCCGCTCTGATATTCATAACATCCTGCATTTTTTCCATTGCACCTGTCACAACTAGAATTATGTATTATTTGCGTGATTCCTTTTTCACTGTCCATCTCCATTCTCAGACTCTAATTTCCAAGAGGACAGGGACTGTGTCTGCCTGGTCACTGCTAAGTCACTGTGCCTAGCACTGAGCAAGTACCCCCAAAATAAGTATCTTTTAATGAATTAGTGTAGATGAACTCACTGTAGCCTCACCATAGTTCTGTAAGTTTACTTTACAATATTTAATACTGCACTGAAATATCACTAATGTTGATGACTATGTTTTGGGGGCCTCACTCAACCCAAGTCTTGCCCCCCAAAACTCACTAAATGAAGTCTGCGTTTCTAGCCCATGTGTGCATGCTAAGCCACTTCAGTCGTGTCCAACTCTTTGTGACCCTATGGACTGTAGCCCGCCAGGCTCCTCTGTCCATGGAATTTCCCAGGCAAGAGTACTGGAGTGAGTAGCCATTCCCCTCTCCAGGGGATCTTCCCAGCCCAGGGATCAAACCCGTGTCTCTTGTGGTGCCTGCATTGCAGGCAGATTCTTTACCACTGAGTAACCAGGGAAGCCTCGGTTCCCAGCCCGGCCCCACCCAAGTCCAGCCTAAGCTGGCACCACTTGCCACGTGGCCCCTCGGTCCCACCAGCTGTGGGGAGAAGGTAGGCATGGCCAGACAGAGGGGCATTACCAGAAGGACAGGGTGTAGTCGTTGGGGAAGGTCTCGCTCTCCCGCACCAAGAAGGTCCCGTCCTTGCCCCCTGTCTCGGCGCAGTATTCCTGCAGCAGCTTCTCGGCACTTGTCCTCTTCTCCACCTTCTTGTGGAACCACTTCTCCCCAAAATGCAGCTCCGTGGGGGGTACATCCTGGGCCACAAAGAGAGGAGAGGCTTCTGAAAACCAGGGCCAGCATCACCAGACCGGTCCATCTGTGCACGCCGCTTCAGGGGACTGGGTAACAGACCAAGGACGGCCTCAGCTGGCCTTCACCCCAGGAAGTCTGGGAAGCCAGCCTCCACTGCCCTCCCCCCGCCAGACACCTACTCCTGACAGCCCCCATTCACGGTGGCCTCCTGAGTCATGGCCCAGGACAGCCTCAACTCTATTGTACAGGAAGCCTGAAAGCTACAATACCCTGAGGACTGTACTCAAGAACAGCACCAAGGATGGTCAGCAGCCCAGGGGCAGAGGGCAGGAAAGCCAGGAACGAAGTTAGTGGGTGGGGCTGAACAGAGCACCCAGTTGTCCTCATCCTCTCCTATCAAGGCCAGTCAAGCCTTTCAGAGAGCAGGAAAGACTCTTAAGCCTCATTGGCTAAGCACTTGGGCCAGCCAACCAATCAGAGAAGAGCCAGGCAAGCCTTGGTACCCAAAGAGGCAGCTCCATGGATGGGCTGAGCATGTCCAGGCCTGCTGGCCACAGGATGAGAGGAGCAGTATGGGAGGTCCCCACCTACCAGTGGCAGCTCCTCTTCCGCAGTCTGTTCAATGTCATCGCTGAAGGAGAGCTTAGCATCAGCAATGGCACAGTAGTGCCGAGTCCATTTCTACAAAGTAAGATCAGCATTAGGTCTCCCCCGAAATCTCTGCTGCATCAACTCTGAGGCCCAAGGCTCCTGCCTGGCATCACCCCGGGGACTTGCCTTTCCCATTTTTGTAGCTGTTTATGGTGGTTTCACTGAACTCAAGCCCCTGTGAGACGTTTCCTTTAAAACACCTATTACTCTGGGGTTCTTTTAAAGCATTTTGAGGGCTTCTTTATTCAGTATGCCTAAAAGCAGACACAACACAGCATCATGTTCATCTGATTTGAAGCCTTTTATGAATAATGAGATTGTTTTCTCTGTGTGTGTGCCTCCATGACTGTCTTTTTCTATTTCATCTACCTTTTAAAACTTTCACAATTTCTCAGCCAGTCTGTCTAGAGACCCTTTCTTCAACATTTAAATATGACTTAATTCTCTATTTAACCATTTTTAAGGTTTATTTCTAGGCTATAAGAACAGACATGTAAAAAATACTCAAAATATTTGCATAAAAACAAATATTACATATATATGCAAAATCTATAATAATCACTTTGCTATACACCTGAAACTAATACAACACTGTACATCAATTATATACTTCAACCAATCATTTTGATCAATACCTACTCAAATGGATTGCCATGTTAGGTTAAGGGATATGAGAAGTGGTATTAACATTCAAAATGCCTCATTCTTATCAAAATACAATGTTTCTTTGGGAATTCCCAGGCAGTCCAGTGGTTAGGACTCTGTGCTTCCACGCAGGGGACCTGGGTTCAAACCCTAGTGGGGGAACTGAGATCCCGCAAGCCATGTGGCACAGAAAATAATAATAATAATGTTCCCAGGGAACTGTCTCAGGTTGGAGAATACTAAGGAGTTAGGACAACTAACTCCTTATTGCATTATTGCATCCTTTGGACCAGAAAAAGGACATCAGTGGACAGACTGGAATAAGGCCCATAAATTAGCCTGTAGTAATATAGCTAGGGTTCCACTTCCTGGTTATGACAATTACACTCTGGTTACAGACGATGTTTTTATTTGGGGAAACTGGGTGAAGGATATATGAGGAGTATGTGTGTGTGTCTGCATTTCTGCGTGAGAATCTATGTTACACTGAATATAAAATTATTTCAAAATAAAACATAAGGCCAGAGAAAAACACAGTTTGCTAACAATGAGCCGTTCGCTTAGCACGAGCTGAGCGGAGGGCGGGAATGGCCTCAGCGCTGCGGCGGGCGGCGCGCTCCGGGCTCGCGGCGGGCGCGGGAAGCCGCACCTGGTCGATGGGGTCCCACATGTGCAGCTCGCCCTGCTGCCCGTGCGCGTCCTTCTTGTCCTCCATGTTCACGTCCACGTCGCCTCGGGGGCCCAGCTTCTTATGCTGAGGGGAGAACACACAGAGCCGTCTCCCTGAGACCCAGAGCGAGGATCGCGGAGCCAACAAGCCCTCCTCCCGTCGGCCCAGCACCCACTTGCACCGTTCTGCCTCAGGGCCTTTGCACCGCCGCTTCTCCCTGCCCAGCTTCTGTCTCACCACCTTCAGCTCTGCACGCGGCATCACCTCCCCAGAGGAGCTTCCCCCGTCTGTGTGACATGAACCTGCCCACATGCCCCCTTCCCGTCCCTGTCACTCTCGAGCCCCTGGATATAATTAATCTTCATACTCTTTGGCCCTATGTTTAGCGACGTATCTGTCTTCGTCCTCCCTGCTGGAATATAAGCCCCATGAGGGCAGGGACTTTGTTTTGTTCCCTGTTGAGTCTCCTGAGCTAGCTGAGCAGATAGTGATTGCTCAATAAACATTCAGTGAATCAATGACGCGCCCACGTTCTCCAGCACACAGAGGGAAAGGCAAGGCCACAGTGCGTCTGTGGGAACACGGGGGATGCAGGCTGAGAAGACCGGGGTACAAACAGCCCTGCCGCTGCTTTATCAGCTGTGTGACCCGGAGCAGGTGGCCATGCTCCTCTGAAACCTTCATGTCCATCGGCAAGACCAAGAGGATGACTATGAAGACATCCCCCCGGGCGAGTGCTGACCACCCACATCAGACACACCAGCCTTGGGCAGCGGTGGCCTGGTGGAGGGGACTCGGGATGGGGAGTCAGACCCGGGCGTGAATTCAGGGCCCATCGCCTTCCTCAATGGGGGGCCTTGGCCGCATGACAAGCTGCCTCAGTAACTTCCCCTGTAAAATGGGGGTAACAGAGCCCCTGCCGGGTCCCGGAAGGCAGCGGGCAAGCAGGATACACAGCGTGGCACGACAATAAGTGCTCCATTTGAACAGACCTGAGTGACATCTTTGGCAGGAACTGTGTAGCCTCCGCTGGGTCAACCTCTGCACCTGCGTCCTCCCCTGTCAAGGGGGCTGGGGACCCAGGTGACCCGTCCTGCGGGGCTGTCATGAGGCTGAAGGCCATTTCTGAGTGTGAACCCAGTGCCGCATGCAGCACCCGCTGACAGGGTCACAGACGCTATTTCCACCCCCTTTCCCTGAAGTTGACAGCGGTGAGCCACGAGGGGGCGCAGCTGAGCCCAGAACTGCTCCGGAAGGGGCGTGTGCTGCCCCACACCGTGAAACGAGAGCCGAGAAACCCCTGGGCACACGCAGAGAGCTGTCCTAATGGACACAGAGGGACGTCGCGGAGAAAGGCAACCAGGCCCCCTAAAGAATCACCGACCAAACCTGAAAAGCTGTGGACCCTCCCCGGCCAAGCCCCCTCTGCCCCTCATCCTACCAGAATGCTAGAAGTTTCCCTGGACGTCTTAGGGAAATCTACCCCAAAATCTCAGCCAATTCCTCCGAATACGCTGCTGCTCTGACCCAAGGGCACACCGGGGTCCCCCCCTCCGGATGGGCCTCGGCCAAAGCCCCCTCACTGCTCCGCTCTCCTCCGCTTAGAGGCTGGTCTCCCCCCAAGACTGTGACCTCCCGACATGTGGGGAATGTCCCCAGTGCGTCTCCATGGTCCAGTGACAACCCAGGGCACACACCATGTGTTTGCGCCACCCACCTTCAAGGATGTTACTCCCCGAACCTGAAGGGCCTTCCCCCTTCTCTGCCTGGTAAACCTGTGTTCGTCCTTCCCACAGACCCACTGGCTGTCACTAAAATCCACATCGCTTCTTCCACTGATGCTGCCCTGCCCGTTATCAGCGCCCCTGCAGGCGGAGTGGTCACACAACTAAGTTCTCAGGCCAGGACAGGTGAGGCCAGGCCTGTCTCACTGACATCCCACCTGCCTACCAGGCATCCCTCGCCCTGAGCCCCCTGTGTTCCCCTTTCTGCGAGACGGATCTCCATGTGCCTGTAACCCAGCATCGACCGCAAAAGGAAGGTGCCCTAAGGCAGCCTTGGCCAGTTCCGTGCCATGGACTCCACCTCTGAAGTCTGGGGAAGAGTACAGATCCTTTCCTCAGAACAACATTCATGATGCATAAAATTACAAGAGAAATCAATGATACTGAAATACAACTATTAAGACAGTAAATAAAAATCCTTGTAACATACTAATAGACATGCCTCTTTATTAACACCTCACATAAGATCTAGAGGCAGATCTAATGACCATCATAATTTCAAAGTTGTGATGAGCACACATTAGTTTGAGATATTCGCAACAACTGCAAATGCGATGTGAAAATATCCATGATTGCTGCCAGTGACAAAGCCCCAGGTGGCTTGTTGCCAATATTCATGATGAAGGAGATGTTACGTTTTGCTTACATGTTAACAAAGAGGCAACATTTTTGCCCCAAGTTCACATGCCACCGTCCCCTCCCCCCGAGTTCTACCTGTGGACTCTTGGGGGCTCTGCAGGACCTCACCTGAAAACCCCTTCCCTGGGAGAGCACAGAACAAGGGGAGCGGGTCCGGGTCCCTGGACAACCTCGTGGACCAGAGGCCACTCTCCTGCACACGGGGCTTGAACCGACAAGCTTTAAGCCGCTGTCCATCTCGTCTCTTGACCCAAACGTCACCCTCTCCACGGTGCTCAGAGCTGCCACTCATCCCCCGCAATAGCACCCAGCTTGCCACCCCCACCACCCCCGGTGCACACAGTCCTTTGGGGGCAGCTGTCCATCTCCAGTCCACCTCCCGAGCTACCCTGGGAGCTCCCAAGGGCAAGAACGGAGCCTGGGTCTCACTGGGACAGCCCCAGCACATCGCGAGGGCCTGACAGAGCGGAACATGGTGAAGAGCTGCCAAGAAACGGACGAGAGACACTGAGTGAATGCGTCCGGGGCACTGCTGCGGGGCAGGGTAGTTCCGCGCGCTCTGTACACAGTCTTTCGCATGTTTATACTCGCGGCGCACTGACGGTGTGGGCTCTATCGTGAGCCCCCAGACAGAGGCACTGGGAGGTTACGTGACCTTGCCCGGGTCAGGAGCATAGTGAGTGGGGAGAACGGCGAGCCGGGACCCCGGCCCCCACGCGCGTGGCGCCCCGAGCCGCTACCTTGATTATGATCTTCCCACGCAGCTGGCTGGGTGACGGCAGCTGGTCGGCACTGGCCTCCGTGGGCTTGGTCAGCAGCAGGTCTCCAAGCACCTCCTTGAACACCCGGGCCATGTGGCGCTGCTGCTCCACACAGCAGTGCTCCTCGATGGACAGGATCACGGGGAAGCTGCGGGCGGGCGGGCGGCAGGGGTCAGCGGGGCGGGCGCTGGCCACCCACCCGCGGCTCCCCAGCCTCCTCCGGGCTCTGCAAGCGGGGCCTGGCCTGCGCTCTCGGCCTGGAGGCGTGCCAACACTCAGCCGAGGCTTGGCGGCGGCGCCTTTGGTCAAGATGGAGCCCAGCGGGTGAGATGGGGGTGTGTGTTGGGGGAAAGGGGTGTCAGTGTGTGTGTGCGCACGCACGTGTGTTGGGGGAAAGGGTTGCCTGTGTGTGTGTGTGTGCTGGAGGAAGGGGTGTCAGTGTGTGTGCACGTGTGTGTGTGTTGGGGGAAAGGGGTGTTGTCTGTGTGTGTGTGTGCACGCACGTGTGTGTGTGTGTTGGGGGAAAGGGGTGTCGTGTGTGTGTGTCTGTGTGTGTCTGTGTGGGGTGTGCAGAGGGGTGGGGAGTATGTCTCTGTCTGTCCACCCAACCCCAGCGGCCTTCCCCTTGAAGGTGAACCACCAGGAGACCAGCCGCCGACCTGGAGGTGACAAAGGCGTGGTCTTTGATGGCCTGCACGACGTCATCGAACTTGATCTTTGTGGTCCGCGTCCAGCCATGGTAGATGATGGGCTTGCCGTCAGGCCCGTCCCAGCAGTCCACTGTGGGCAGAAGCGGGCGCCCTGAGCTCCTGCCCATCCCCCTCCACGGCCACGCTGCCCGGGTGACGGCCGTACCCCGGCCCCCGCCCCAGCACTGGCTCCACCACCTGGACACTGGGCCAGACCCAGCCAGCCCGGGGCCACCAGCCTGAGGACACGCGTCACCTGCGTCATTACAGGAAGACTGGGTGGACTAATTAAAGGTCCCTTTGTAATGCCACACGTCTGTCCCAAAACAGACAGAGATTTATCGTGCGTTTTATCTTCTGATGTGACTTGTCTAAACCCTGGCTCACTTTCTCTGCTAGAGGGAACTTTACAGAGCAGTGAGAGATTTATTTTTAGAGATTCATGGTTACGTAGAAGGTGAACAGCCTGTATATTTTTAACCCCCAGAGGAGACAGGAGCTGACAGTTTCGAACTAAATTTTTTTCACATTTGCTTTTTCCCTAAGAGAGAAAAAGGCATAAACGAGGCAGCACTCTGGAGGAGAAACTACCATTAAGGTCTGATACCTGATGAATGTTTCTGATTGAGCTGGAGCCTACATCAGCGCCGTGTGCCTTTCCCAGCCTGGCACGCCCAGGAGCCTCTGGCATGCCTCAGGCTGGGGCGTCAGGAGGAAGCACCCGCTCCCAGCCACGTCCGGGGGCCTGGAGTCGCCTGTGTGGGGCAGCTGCGGGCACCCGGGCACAGGCGCTCAGGGACCCCTGCTGACCGCGCAGGGGGCCCTCCTGCCTCTAACTACAGCCCCGAGGGGCTGCAGGACAGGAAGGCCATCTTTACGACGGGCCTCCCAGCCTCTCCGCTGTATCTGGACACTTTCTGGACAAAAAGACCACTGCCCAAGGCGCTGTGGCTCCGACCTGGCCAGGCCCAACGTCCCTGCTTGTCGTGGGGGACCCCGTCTTTGGTGGGGGCCGCCTCGCCCGCCCCAGCTGCTGAGGGCACCTGGCTCCGCCCCCAGGCTGCCCCACCCACCCCACCCCTAGGGCCCCCACCCGAGGCATCCGGCGGGCGGGTACTCACGCTCAATGCAGCGGCAGCCCATCCGCAGGCAGCGGATGTAGGCCTCCGGGGAGGACTCGCTCCGCAGCTGGTCCCCCGTGAGGTACCTGGGGGAGGAGGGGCCATGTGGGGGCAGGCCTGCACCTCGGGGTGCCCCAGGGAACGTCTCAGCCTGAGCCCCCAATGCCCTGAGTTCTTCCTGTCTAGAAAGATTCCCCCCACCCCACCCCTCATTAGGATTTGGGCCAGACACAGGCAATCACATGGCCGAGACAGGAGACTCAGACTCAGGCTATGGCCGTGGGAGGTGAAGGGGAACCATCCTGGAAACCCAAGGGTGGGGTGGAGAACGTGCGTTCTTTCAAGGAAAACGTGGTCGAAGGGAGTCAGGAGCAAGACTGATGGACAATGATAAACGGACAACTCCTGACAGCTGCCCCCGAGGCTACACAAGGCAGAGGTGGGCCATCATTCTGACCTCAGGGCCCCAGGCCCGGCACAGGATAAATGGAACTGCTACCCCATGAACTACGTCCACCAAAGCTGATGCAGAAAGACCAATTTTTATCACTCTCCTCCTTACCACCCACGTTCCCCTCCTTTAAGAGTCTGTGTTGCTCAGCCGTCTTCTGGGTTTGGCAGAATCCGCCATTCTCCGACATGTACTCAAACCAAAGGTAGGGATGAGAACTATGAAGTCCCTTCGCCCCTGAATAGGAAGGTGTCTTCCAAAAGGCCTGGAGACAAACCTCAGGGCCTGCCCTCCACCACCTGTCTGGACAACACTCGGGAAAGTGCCAGTCAACAGCCCAGGACCAAAGGCCTCCACCCTCGCACCTTATAAAGCAGACCGAGGATCAGAGCTTGAGAGGCACACCCATCTCTCCCTTCCTGTCTGCCCTTTTTTTCCAATCAGGGCATGCTCCCAAAGATAGACACTCGAGTGTGCTGTTCTCCATCCTAAAAGCCATCGCTGGGGGCTCCCACTGCCTTCACAGACTCCACTCAAGCTGACCTGCTGGCCTCGTCTCCTGCCACTCGCCCTCCCAGGGTCTCTGCTCTCGTCTTACTAGACTCCTCTCTGTTCCTCCTGCCTCCGGTCATTTGCATGTGCTGTTCCTGTGTCTGAAGCCCTCCTCCTCACCTCGCTACCTGTTTCCTCACCAACTCCTGCTCATCGCTGAAACTCAAGGGAGGCCCTTTCCCCATCCAAACACAAGAGGACAGGGGCTGATCCTGCCCCCCCTCCATGTTTTTCTATTTTTTGGCCCCACTGCGCAGCATGCGGGATCTTAGTTCCCCAACCAGGGACTGAACCCAAGCCCCCTGCAGTGGAAATGCAAGCCCGGGGCCTGGCGCAAGGTGACCTCTCAGTAAAAGTCAGTTCAGTAACTAATTCAACTGCTTTCCTGAAAGCTGGACCATAAAGAAGGCTGAGCACCAAAGAATTGACGCTTTCAAACGGTGGTGCTGGAGAAGACTCTTGAGAGTCCCTTGGACTGCAAGGAAAACAAACCAGTCCATCCTAAAGGAAATCAACCCTGAATATTCACTGGAAGAAGTGATGCTGAAGGTGAAGCTCCAATACTTTGGCCACCTAATACGAAGAGCTGACTCACTGGAAAAGACCCTGAGGCTGGGAAAGATTGAAGGAGGGAAGAGAAGGGGACGACACTGGATGAGATGGTTGGATGGCATCACTGACTCAATGGACATGAGTTTGAGCAAAGTCAGGGAGATAGTGAAGGACAGGGGAGCCTAGCGTGTTGCAGTCCTTGGGGTCACAAAGAGTCAGACATGACTTAGGGACTCAACAACAACAACTATGAATGAGATGCCCAAACTGGGCAAACTGGCTTTGTCAACTTGCTTCTTAGGGCCACAGAAAAAGGACTGCTATGGCAATACCAACTAGGAAAGACAGATGCATCTCCCCTCCCCTCCAGAAGCTTCCATATAGCCCAGTGTGAGCAGTGAGGGCCTGCACTCTGCCCACTGCCCACACGCTCTGCCGGAGCAGCGCACCAGAGTGCCCTCTGTACCACCCTTCTCCTGCCTGACGGGCTGCAGGCTGGCGGGGAGACTCACGTGTTGTGAGACGAGGAGATCCAGTAATGAGACAAGGGGTTGTTCATGTCCTGCATGTCCACCACATCATACTTCTCGTCCCAGATGCTGTTCTCCCGGGAAAACAGGTACGTGAGGAACTAGGAGAGTCACAAATACAAGGAGGGGTCACCACACGAGGCATGGGTGGCGACTGGTTCCTGCGGGCCTGTGTCAGCTCGGGGAGATGGTACGTGAAGATGCAACAGATGGCCCCCTGGCCTCAGCTACCCAAGTTTCCAAAGCAGAAAACTCAGATTGCAACAGGCTGTATGAACACACGCTTCGCTGACCTATACAGTTAATTTCCTTTTCAATATGTTTCTTCAAGTATTTGAGACTACAAGAGTACACGATGCCCATATATAAGGGTTCAGGGACAATGATACCATGAACATTTGTGAATGCACCATCCGACATGAGAAACAGAACACTGCCAGTGTCGTGATATCTAAAAGGCAGGAAACTCCATATACCAGTTCCTGACCCCTTAAAAAAGAAAACAGAAGACTGAGTGACACTGCTTCCTGGGAACAACCTTACATGGGGCGAAGGGAGCTCCCCAGTTCCCCTCAGCCCCTGCTGGCTCACGTGGGGCCAAGGGCACCCATTTCCACATCTTGCAAAAAGCCACACAAACCCTGCAGTTCTAGTGCTGTGCTTGTAATGGTTTAAGGCTCGCTGACAGCAACTCCCTCTAGCGGCAAAAGAAAAGATTTCACCTACGTGATCAAACGGAGGAGGAGAAAGATCAAAGACTATGATGGTTTAGGACCAAGGGAAAAAACAGCTCTTGACTGAGAGAGGCAGTCTAGGGACATCTAGCAGCAAAGCCCTCCAAGGGAAGAGACCTAGAAAATACACTTTGGAGGACAGCAATGTGAATCCAAAAGCCATGCCCACAGGACAGGGAGCTCACTCACCTCATCCACAAACAAGAAGGGTTCAGCAGTTTCCCTCATGGTGTCGTCAATAAACTTCGTCATCCGCTCACGGACTTTGCTCAGATCCTGAGCCCAAAGCTCCTTAGAATGATAAAAAGAACGTGAAATCATCAGAAAGAGGACTTTGCAAAATTCTTTATCTCCCAGACGGAGAAGGCAATGGCACCCCACTCCAGTACTCTTGCCTGGAAAATCCCATGGACAGAGGAGCCTGGTAGACTGCATGCAATCCATGGGGTCGCTAAGAGTCGGACACGACTGAGCGACTTCACTTTCACTTTCCTGCATTGGAGAAGGAAATGGCAACCCACTCCAGTGTTCTTGCCTGGAGAATCCCAAGGACGGGGGAGCCTGGTGGGCTGCCGTCTATGGGGTCGCACAGAGTCGGACACGACTGAAGCGACTTAGCAGCAGTTTTAGCCAAACACTGAAACATGGATGTATTCTGGACACGCATACCATCAAGGCCTCACCCTACGCACAGCACACATTTTCCCTAACGGACCAGAGAGTAAAGATTTTAGGCTTTTGGCCACAGCACTCAATTCTTCCATAATAGTGCAGAAAGAACCACAGACAACAGGCACACAAATGGCCATGGTTGTGTTTATAGATAAAACTTTATTTATAAAAAACAAGCTGTGGGCCAGATGCGGTCTGTGGCTACAGTCTGCCAACTCCTGCTCTCAGCTAATTCTTCACACTTGCTAGCCTGAAGAGGAGGGGAGCACAGTTATGTCAGACAACTAGGGTTATTCCCCTGGCTGATGGTGGGCAAGTTAAAGACCCTCTCTGAGCTCCTGGTCCATTACCTGGGAATAATGATACCTAAGCACAGAGGCTGTGAAGGACTGGATGAAATAAAAGTTCTGTGCTTAAAACAACTCCTGCAGCTCAATTCCAGAAAAATAAATGACCCAATCAAAAAATGGGCCAAAGAACTAAGCAGACATTTCTCCAAGGAAGACATACAGATGACTAACAAACACATGAAAAGATGCTCAACATCACTCATTATCAGAGAAATGCAAATCAAAACCACAATGAGGTACCATTACACGCCAGTCAGGATGGCTGCTATCCAAAAGTCTACAAGCAATAAATGCTGGAGAGGGTGTGGAGAAAAGGGAACCCTCTTACACTGTTGGTGGGAATGCAAATTAGTACAGCCACTATGGAAAACAGTGTGGAGATTTCTTAAAAAGCTGGAAATAGAACTGCCATATGACCCAGCAATCCCACTTCTGGGCATACACACCAAGGAAACCAGATCTGAAAGAGACACGTGCACCCCAATGTTCATCGCAGCACTGTTTATAATAGCCAGGACATGGAAGCAACCCAGATGCCCATCAGCAGACGAATGGATGAGGAAGCTGTGGTACATATACACCATGGAATATTACTCAGCCATTAAAAAGAATTCATTTGAATCAGTTCTAATGAGATGGATGAAACTGGAGCCCATTATACAGAGCGAAGTAAGCCAGAAAGATAAAGACCATTACAGTATACTAACACATATATATGGAATTTAGAAAGATGGTAACGATAACCCTATATGCAAAACAGAAAAAGAGACTCAGATGTATAGAACAGACTTGTGGACTCTGGGAGAAGGCGAGGGTGGGATGTTTCAAGAGAACAGCATCGAAACATGTATATTATCTAGGGTGAAACAGATCACCAGCCCAGGTTGGGTGCATGAGACAAGTGCTCGGGCCTGGTGCACTGGGAAGACCCAGAGGGATCGGGTGGAGAGGGAGGTGGGAGGGGGGATCGGGATGGGGAACACGTGTAAATCCATGGCTGATTCATGTCAATGTATGGCAAAAACCACTACAATACTGTAAAGTAATTAGCCTCCAACTAATAAAAATAAATGAAAAAAAAAAAGTTCTGTGCTTAAAGCAGCACCTGGTACACAGAAGGCGCTCAAATCACAGCGACATGAATGGTCGGTTGTCATCGTCCTGTGACACCTCGTTCCATCCAGGCAATTCTGCAAGTCACATACTGTCACTGTCATTTTAGAGATGAGGACACAGAAGCTCAGAACATCACACGATCAAAACTTCACACAGCTAGTAATTCGGAGAGCCAGGCTTCCAAATAACCAAACTTTGGAAAACCGACACAGAATTGGTCAAGATCGCCAAAGTATTGCTACTCAGACACCAATAAGGTCTGAAAGATACATGCCCAGTTCAAAAACAGCTTCTGCCCAGTCTCAGAAATTCGGAAGCCCTTTAGAAAAAAGAACATATAGCGGAAAGAACTTCACTGTTGTCTCTTCAAACCCTAAATCCCCAAATATTCCTAGACAAAAGGATGAAATATGACCCAGGCATTCAATTTTGGCTCATGTTTTCTGGATTCCTAATATTCTAAAACCTCTATCTGTAAGAAAAATAAAACCAGATGTGCTACCAGCTACGTGTGGTTGGGTGGGAAGGTCAGAACAGGAAGTTTGAAAGAAGGCAGCGCATACGGGCAGACACAAATGAGGCAGGTGTAAATCAACAACGAGCCTCACTGTTGATTCTTGCAAATTGACTTGGCTGAAGGTCACCCAACAGCCAGGAGCCAGGGGAGCAGCTGGTTCATTTGTGTACAGGGTGTCACAATCTTTGAATACCAGAGCAGGAGACTCAAATTGGAGGATACTTAATGCAAACACCTCGCCAGGCCTAGATGCCCTACAAAGGCCAGAAGCTTCCTACTTCCCTCTCCTGTAGAGTTTCTGCATAAAAAATCATGGGTACCAAGCCGACATAACCTGGAACTGAAATGGCTGTGAATAAGAAATCTTCTGCCTAAAGGAGTTTAAAATATGAATATCCCAGGGGGTCAGTAAATGTTTCCACTTGGTGGGACTTCCCTGGTGGTCCAGTGGTTAAAACTCCACCATATCAATGCAGGGGGCACAGGCTTGTTCCCCAGTCAGAGTACTAAGATCCACATGCCACATGGCTGAAAAAAAAAAAAAGTGTCTCTGTGGTGCGGGGTATTGTGCTGGCAACTGCAATAACGGCAATGATGAGAATATGAGGAGAGAATTAACTGCGGTGAGGTGGTCCGCGCTGGGCAGGGCGGCATGCCAGGCTCTGCCCTCAACCTTGTCATGTGTGGCTCATTTTGAACTCACACAAGCCCAGGAGCTACGTATAACATTATCCTCTGGTTAAATAAATAAGATAGCTGAGGCTTCAGGTCATTAAATAAGCTGACCCAACAGTGAATCCCAGATACAGATTCGGGTCAGTTCATGTCACCTCCCTCCCAGGACTGGACTGCAGCCCACCTGACCAGTCCCCAGATGGAAATTCAGACGGGCTCTCTGAAATTCTCACATCTATTAAAACACCGCCATCACACCAGCTTGTTAGAAAAGATGGAGATGGTGGATTTCCATGTGAAAACTGCCAGGAACAGAAGTACCAGGGCACAAAACCTGGGTTGGGAGTAAATCTGGAAGAGTCTCCCTTGTCCTTCATCTAAGGAATGAACATAGACGTAAAATCCTGAAGTATGATCCTTCAAAATACTGCCACAACTTAAAGAAGATAGGGGAGGATTTCACAAATGCTGTCCCCATATCCAACCTCACTTGGGAACTGGAAGGAGGGAATGAAGCTATGAGTAAGAAACGGCGAGGAGAATTCTCTGACTTTCACAGCCCTGCCAAGAAGACAATAAAAGTGCAGAAGAATGAGGGTTCCGCTGCATCTCTAATCATCAGATCAAAACCTCGTAGCGTAACAGAGTCCACATTTAAAACAACAGGTTGCACAAGAAACACCCCATAATTCCATTACTCCTAAATCACCCTCTACAACTGATGATGATGATGGTCAGAAATTTTAAAATGTATTTTTTTCAGACTTCTGGTTTAGAAACTACCAAAAATAGAAATAGCATATCCAATGATGATACTGATTCTGAAGATGAATTAAGACTAATGATTGCAAGAGAGGAAAACTTAGAGAAAACGACATGGTCCTCAAATGAAATTGAAAATGATCCCTTTGAAGTCGTAAGGGATGTTTTTAAACCTGATTTTCACAGATTTCATACTTCAACAGGTTTAGGCCTCAAAAACAATGTCTCTTGTCTCGACAGTGAAAATAATGTTATGGAAAGTGGTTGTGATTCTGCTTCAGGAGATACAGATGAAATCACTGCAATGAAAAAAAGTTCTGGTAAGATCAAAAACAGTGTAGATTTTTCACAGATAGAAAAGTCTATGTACAAGAAAACTTATTTGAAAAACATTAAAAAAGTATGCTCTTTCTGATGGCTGCATTAAAGTACAAAAAAGAAAAAACAGAAATAGCCCTCAGTCATAGAATTAAGGCTCTTGGTTGTAAATCTCTGATTGAGTCCAGTAAAGATGCTGATTCCATATCAGAATCAACTGAGTCTGAAGGAGATAAGGAGTATAACACCTTGATGGAAAACTGTCTCCGTGTGGATCTGACTTTGGCTGATTTGGAACAGTTGGCTGGCAGTAACCAGGAGGCTCCAAAAGAAAAGACTGAGAGCAATGGCCAGAAAACCACGGCCAAGCGTGACAGGGCCTCCAAGAGCCAAAGGACTCCAGGTGACCTCCACAGAGGCCAGCAGCATAGTCGTCCCAAGGAGATTGTGGCTTCTCTTTTAGAAGGAAAAGAGAACCCACGTGGAAAACAGAAACCAAAGGAAAATACCTTAAAGTCAAAATTTCAGGCTTTCAAAGGAGTGGGCTGTCTCCACGGAAAGGAATCAATGAAAAATTCCTTGCAAGAGAGTGTCGCCTCTAACAATATTAATAAAGATCAAATTTCCTTGAAACTTGAGGGACCCAAGAACATGTCCATGGAAAAATGGTCCCTGTGTGCTAATGGCCCATCAAGTGAACAGACTGCTTTCCAACATGCAAAGGAGTCAAATGACTCAAACCAAATTCAGCCTCAAAAGAGATGGTCTTTTGAGAGCCAAGGTCACAAAGTAGGTGTCCCCTAACAGTTCAGAAAAGACCGACAGGAATCCTATTTCTAGTCTGCTGCCACTGAAAGATGAGAAATCTTTAAGTGGTGGTGCTAAGACTCGCAGCAACAAGACTAGAAACTCAGGAGAGGACTCTGATCGGAGGCCACATCTGTGCATCTCCAAGGTCCCTGAGAAACCACCAGAGGTTTTCTCAAGGAGAGACTCCCAGGGAAGCAACACTGACTTCCCACTTTCTGTTAACAGTTCGTCAGCTGTTAGTGCTAAGGATAAGCATGCTGAAGATAATCAGAAACGTTTGGCAGCCTTAGAGGCAAGGCAGAAAGCAAAAGAAGTCCAAAAGAAGTTGGTTCACAGTGCTCTGGCAAATTTGGACGGTCGTGCAGAGGACAGGCCGACGCACATCATCTTTGGTTCCAATAGTGAAAGTGAAACAGAGGAGACATCCACTCAGAAGCGAAGCCATCCAGGAGAGGAACTGGTAAGAGTCCATGGGCAGAGCCTCTGGGAAGCTCTTTGACAGCAGTGAAGATGAGGAATCTTGTTCTGAAGATGACAGTAACAGGTTCAGAATTAAACCTCAGCTTGATGGCAGAGCTGGACAGAAGCTCATGAATTTGCAGTCTCACTTTGGCACTGACTCCCGATTTCTAGAAAGTGATAGTGAAGAGGAACAGGAAGAAATAAATGAAAAGAAAACTGCTGAGGAGGAAGAGCTTGCTGCAGAAAAGTTTTTTTGAAAGCCCTGAATGTTGTGCAGAGCGTTTTGCAGATCAGCTTAAGCAATTCTACAAGCAAAGGATCAGTAGCTGCAAAGAAATTTAAGGACATCAGGCATTATGATTCAATGAGGCATGACCATGCCACTTATGAAAGAAAGCAAGATGATAAACTCAAAGAAAGTAAAGCAAAACAAAAGAAGAAAAGGGAGGAAGCTGAGAAACTACCTGAGGTGTCTAAAGAAATGTGTTATAACATTCAGTTCAGTTCAGCTCAGTCTCCGTCGTGTCTGACTCTCTGTGACCCCACGAACCGCAGCACGCCAGGCCTCCCTGTCCATCCCAACTCCCGGAGCTTGCTCAAACTCATGTCCGTCGCGTCGGTGATGCCATCCAACCATCTCATCCTCTGTCGTCCCCTTCTCCTCCCACCTTCAATCTTTCCCAGCATCAGGGTCTTTTCAAATTAGTCAGCTCTTCACCTCAGGTGGCCAAAGTATCGGAGTTTCAGCTTCAGCATCAGTCCTTCCAGTGAATATTCAGGACTGATTTCCTTTAGGATTGACTGGTTGGATCTTTTTGCAGTCCAAGGGACTCTCATGAGTCTTCTCCAACACTAGAGTTCAAAATCCATGGCTGATTCATGTCAATGTATGGCAAAAACCACTACAATATTGTAAAGTAATTAGCCTCCAACTAATAAAAATAAATGGGGGAAAAAAAAACCATCAATTCTCCGGCACTCAGCTTTCTTTATAGTCCAACTCTCACATCCATATATGACCACTGGAAAAACCACAGCTTTGACTAGATGGACCTTTGTTGGTAAAGTAGTGTCTCTACTTTGTAATATGTTGTCTAGGTTGGTCATAGCTTTTCTTCCAAGGAGCAAGCGTCTTTTAATTTCATGGCTGCAGTCACCATCTGCAGTGATTTTGGAACCCCAAAAATAATGTCTGTCACTGTTTCCATTTTTTCCCCATCTATTTGTCATGAAGTGATAGGATTATAACATTGCTACAGATTTAAAACAAATATTCCAGACTGTAAAAGATACCAGTGAAAAGGAAGATGACACATCTTGGAATTTGGACTCTGATGGAGAGAAAGCTGAGATAGTCCAGGACCCTACAGCTCTGATGATTTGGGATGAACAAACCAGCAGATTCACATTTTCCTTTTTTGAGTCTGATGCCAAAGATGAAAAGGAAGAGACCTATAGAGTTGAAGCAGTAAAACCTGTGAAGATCGCCTGGCAGGGAGACCCTAGTTTCCAAGACAGCAGTTCAGAAGAGGAAGACGTTACTGAAGAAGGAGATGACAAAAAGCACAGCCCTGAAGTATCATTACCTGAGAAAGAGACTACTAGATTTTCCTTCATCTCTAAGAATGACAGACTTCATGGCTCAGACTTATTCTGGAGAGGAGTGGGAAGTAATATTAGCAGGAATTCTTGGGAAATCAGAACAAACAACTTAAGTATGGACTGTCCAAAGAAACATAAAGACGCCAAAAGGAGAGTGAAACCAAAATAATAAATGTCATCATTAGTTTTGATACCAAATGTAAACAAGTCTCACCGTGGAAATTGGAGTGATCTAGAAAATATTTTAGCTGGCAAAGAATTCAGAGTGAAGGAATATTAAAAATCTTATCTGGTAGATATCATTCTGATTGCTTTCTTTTTCTGTAGCTTTCCTATCTGTTCTTACCTAATTACTTCAAACAACCTAAACCTTTGTTTTAATGAAGCATAAGATAGTCCCTCAAAATACTTTTGTATATAATCTCCTTGCCCTCCATCTTCAATAACTAATGGGCATTTCCTGACATGAGGTTTACATAAAGCTTTTTAAAATATATGCATCAGAGCACGTGTATTTTCCAAGTTATGTTTCACGTAAATTATACTTGAAATATTTGATTGTATTAAGTACACCCTACCTCCAAAAAAAAAAATGCTGCTGTCATTTCTTTAGGATAAGTTCCTAGGAGAGCAATTATTAAAGTGCAGAAGGCTGTTTTCAAAGTTTTCATATTAACTGTATTTTTCCCAAAGTGTTTTCTGAGAAACTTGCACTAACTCACACACCAAGTGTGGCAGCGATTATTTCACATGAGCCTCCAGGCCCCGGGTCACCGGCTCAGCGACCCACAGAGACATTTAGGGTCCACGAGACTGATGGCCCCAGGCCCCACCCCGGCCTCACCCCTTGCTCCCGCCACGCACACTCACACGGAGGCACACAGTCTGCCCGCATCCTGGCCCCCGGATGTGGGATCCGAACTCCCTGCACTCTGCAGCCGGCCCGTGACCCCGACCTCTGAGGGCGGCCCAGTGACGGGGCCAGTGTGGGGCAAGCGGACTCTCCCGGGAATATCACTGCCTTGCACGAGGCGGTGGATCCAGGAATGGACTCTCCCGGGAATATCACTGCCCTGCACGAGGCGGTGGATCCAGGAATGGACTCTCCTGGGAATATCACTGCCCTGCACGAGGCGGTAGATCCAGGATACATGGTAAGTTGTCCCCAGGGGTTTAACCATTTAACTCCAACACCTCCCTACAAAACTGAGTAATTCAGTGCAAGCAAGAGCATGGAGAAAAAGCAGACAGCATGGGTGCCTCTCTCTCTGCTTCGACCTCCGGGCAGTTCAGCACCTTACATGTAATTGGGTCCAAGAGACTTCATCTATCCCCCTCATTTCACCTGCCCTGGGTCATAGTCCCAGGTGGGCAAGTAAGACTTCCCTTGGTCACTCCCATGCACCCCAGCATCCTGATCACCATTCATCATGAACCACCGCAGCTACCGGCTCCACCTGGACCTTCCTGCGGCCGGCCTCATCCAAGTGTGTGTCTCTGTTCATCAGTCTCCCTACAACCAATGGCATCTGAACACGGGATGGGTGCTGACACTAAGTTAGCGCTGGTTGCGAAAGGTATTAACAGGAGTGCTATTGTCCTGTTTTGTTAAAAAAAAAAAAAAACAACTCCATTTCACGAGAGAGACATATTGGAGTATTTACAAATGGAATGATACAGAGTCTGGGGTTTCCATTAGAATTTGCCAACAAAGAAATGAAGGAGGAGGGAAGGGAAGGGAGACACGTGGATGTGGGGATGGAAGAGGGATGAAATGAAAGTAGCAAAACATTCATAATTCTGTAATCTGAGTGATGGGTCCACAGTAGTTTATGATACCAGCCTGTCTACTTTTGTGTTTGTTTGAGATGCTGTACATACAAAGTACTTTTTAAAGTAAATGAGCTGGATATCATCATGAATCTAAAGCTGCTCTTAAAAAGTCTATTAACACAAAAATAAAGGACGTCCTTCACAGTCCAGTGGTTAAGACTTTACCTTCCAACGCACAGGTGAGGGTTCGATCCCTCATCAAGGAGTTAAGATCCCACGTGCCTCAGGGCCAAAACATAACAAAATCCAAAACAGTCGCAGTATTGTAAAAATTCAATAAAGGCTTTTAAAATCTTTAAAAGCAACTAAAGAGAATAAAAGTACGTGAAACTCCAGTGGTAGAAATAACATTTTTGAACAGACAGTGTGACTATGTATGTACACACACACCCACACATGCACGCAAAGATCAGCACCATCTTCTGCGAACCCCACAGTTCTGAGAGGCAAGGCTCTCAGCCCCATTCAAAGAGGAGGAAAGCGGGGCACAGACAGGTCGAACCACCTGCCCAAGGTCACACGGCTCATGACAGGGTGCCAGGTTTCTCTCAGTCTAGCTCGGCTTCTCCGAGGCACTCCTGACACGCGGGGCTGGGGAGTTCCTTGCTGCGGGAGTGGGGCGAAGGTGGGGTGCAGTCGCCTCGCAGCAGCCCTGGGCCCCCCACTAGACGCCAACAGGCCTGACCTGAGTCTGCATCCCCTGCCCGGATGGCCCCATAAAAAACCACCGCCCGGCACGAACGCCGACTCAGCCACCAGCGCGGGGCCCACCCGCAAGCACCCTGAGAGACACGCACGGGTCACCTAAGGACGGCGTGCTGCCTTATCCCTCGGAGGACCCGCAGGCTCGTCCACCTGAGTCCCATCCTCCCAGAGCCAGGGATGGCTTCCCGGGGAAGGGCCCCCCGAGACGAGCCGGAGGCGGGGGAGCAGAGGCCAGCAGGTGAGGGTCCCCATCGCCCCCTCCTCCATCTGCACCCAGGGAAGGGGCTGCTGCGAGGCCAGCCTCATTCCAGAGCCTCAGCCCCCAGGCGCCACTGGGCAGGGAGACGATTCCTGCTTCCTGACGGCAGGTGCCGACAAGGTGACAAACTGAGGGCACAGCACCCCCCACCCTGCTCTCCCCTCACCTGCTGTTCATGCAAGAGAAACCGCTGGAAGTCGTGCAGGTGGACAGCAGAGGCGTCCGGCCGGTCGGTGTTGCTGCCCTCGGGGAAAGAGATGGTGTTTAGACGGGGGCGGTCAGCAGTTGGGAGGCGGTCCCAGCCCACAGACCCCCGGGTGCCCAGCCGAGCCCCCCACTGCTGCCCCACGGGGTCAGGTGTGGGCTGGCCGACGGGAAGACAAAGGTCACTCAGATGACAGCCCTGACCCAGGAGGATGCAAAGAGGGGAGCTGACACCAGAACCCGGGAGAATCAGGCCCTGGAACCCACACCCAGCTGCTCCCAGCCGGTCCCGCAGGGGCAGGCAGGGCAGGCAGGACAGCGGAGGCCAGGGTGGGGCTGGCCGTGGAGCACATTTAGGGGGTGGCGACGCTGGAGAAGTGACCCCAGAGTCTGCTCTGAGGCAGGAGAGGGGCCTGGATGAAGCCCGACTCTGGGCGGGTGGGGAGAACCCGCTGGAATATGCGAGACCAGGGCCAGGAAGCCAGCGGAGGGCCTCTGCTAGGAGAACCTTCCACCTGAGACAGGACTCCTTCAGCCTGGCCTCCTGGAGAGGATGCTCGGCTGGACAGAGAACCTCACTGGGCCAGCACAAGCGGCCAGGAGCGCTACACAAGCTACGTCCCGTGAAACGGGGCTCTCCAGGGCAACGCACACTTCTCCCTGAGCGTCTGCAGTGGGGGTGGGAGGGTGTTTTTTTTTTTAAATACAGGAGATAAAACACGCTTTAAGTTTTATCCCTTTACTAAATACTCAGGGTCCAGAGTCTACTGTCTCTGAGTGTATTTCTAGCCTTCTTTCTTAACAGCCTCACGGTCCAACACTAATCTTTTCAGTAAAACACTGCAAACAAATCAGATTCATTGAGATGAATGAATACTTTGGAGTTTTCAGGTTTCTGGTTTAGAACTCAACAGAGGAACAGCTGCCAGGGCATCTTCATCAATGAGGGCTGGTTCCTAAAAGCAGGCCCAGGTCAGCAGACCACAAATCACATTCTAGGTGCTGTTAACTCCACAGTAAACCTTTCTCCCAGGTAGAGAGGCTTGGGAGACACAGCACACTACAGATCTCCCACTTAGGGAATCAGTAAGTTCAGTGAAGGGCCTCACAGGTCCTGCAGCACTTGTTTTAGCCATCATATCATCACCACTATTTATGAGCCTTGGCATGCACCACATAAAGCACTTTATGTGCTTCGACTCATTTTAATTCAGTTCAACCTGCTTAACCAGGACGTCCTGAAGCAAGCAGGCTTCTCTACAGAACCTTCTGGGCCATCCTCCCAACACTCCACAAGTCCTGCTGCTGTGCACATTTATTCGTGGCACTGGATTGATTAGAGTCCATGACTCAATGGACATCAGCTTGAGCAAGCTCCGGGAATTGGTGATGGACACGGAAGCCTGGCGTGCTGCAGTCCGTGGGGTCACAAAGAGTCAGACGCGATTGAGCAACTAAACTGAACTGAGTGTCAGGACAGTCAGTTCCCCAACAAGGGGACCCCATCTGTGTGGAGACCAGTGCCTGCCAGAGAGGTGACCTCCTGGAGGTCAGGCGGCCGGGCTGGGAAGACCCACAAGGGCGCCACTGCCTGGCACAGCCGCCCAGAACTACAACCCAGCAGGGTGCCTCACCCCAAGAGGAACACAGAAGAATCCTTTTTGAATTCGTCAAGGATCTGAAACAGAAAATAGAACACACACACAAAACAAGAAAATTAGACATGTCGAGACAATGAAAATAAACAGAGTTTTTGTTAAAAAATTAGCATGGTCATTTATGTTACTTGTAAATATTCAAATATTTACATCTTGACACAAAAGGTGGAAGTCTTCCTCACTTCTTTCACAGCCTGATTCCTGAGGAGCAATCACTCATAATAATTTGGTAGTTCTCCATCTTGAGTTCATTTTATAGATATTCAATAAATTATATCTTATCATCTTATATTACATCTATGTCTTCCAACATTTTCGCTGTTGTTTCACACTTTGGACATTATTTAGCAACTTCAAATTGCTCTGCCTCACTACTTTGAAAACCCACACTGTATTCCATGTCTGTCCTTCAATTTTCTGCTAATACATCTAGTATCACACTGAATGTTCCCACATATCTATCTTCGCCCACTTGTGCCAGCATTTCCGTGGGGTGGATTCCTGGGTGGGAAAGCACCTGGACACCAGGTGTGCACATTACCTTTCAAAGATTCACCAAAGTGCTCTCTAAACCACTGTCCTGCCTGGCATGCCCAGCAGAAAATACACACCCCTTTCTGCACCCTCACGAAGCTACATTTCAAATCCTTAATATTTCAATGGGCTCATTTCTCATCCTTGAATTCAAGAGAAAAAAAAATATCGGGAGCTCTAGTCCAAGGCTTCAGGGCCTGCTCGTATTCCAGCTATTGATGAAGGGCGGTGAGCTCCTCCACAAGGAGGACCGGGGACACACCCGTCCCCAGCCGCCACCACACAAGCTCCCTAGCAGGCATTTCACACACACGTGTGCAGGGATGCACACACACCCACATACCACATACAGGCATGCACACCCACACTGCATCCATTTCCAGTTAGGTAGTATGACTGGAACAGTCTCTAGTGAGACTGACTGGATCAACATTGGGGTAATTCAGAACACAGACAGAAATGCAGCTCCTGGAAGGTTATAAATGCTAACAATCCAAAACGACTCCTGCCCTCAATGCCCCAGTTCTCTTGCCAAACAGCCTGCGTTCCAGGATGACATGTGGAAAATCAATGTTCTAGAAAAGGTAGCCACTGGCCCCTAGGAAGCCTCAGGCGGTCTGCAGAAGTCTGCGCATGTACTTTTTTTTTTTTCCTTTTCCTGGAAAGATGGTCTGTAGCTTTAATCAGTATCTCAAAGAAATAGGTCACCAAAAAAGGATAGGAGTCACTCTTTTAGAAAGACTTAGAAGGACTTCCTTTCACGTACATGTCATTTACAGCAGCGGTCCCCAACCTTTTTGGCACCAGGGAACGGTTCTGTGAAAGATGATTCTTCCAAGGACTGGGGAGGGGGATGGTTTCAGGATGATTCAAGCACATTACGTTCATTGCGCACTCTACTTCTGTTATTATTGTACGAGCTCCACCTCAGATCCCAGAGGCTGGGGAATCCCTGATTTATAGCATGGCTATTTTTTTTTTTTTAAGGAGGGAGGATTTTAGGGAGGGCATGCTGTTTGCTCTCTGGACTCATTTGGCCCTGACATCGCTGGGTCAACCGGGGCATAAGAACAGATCCTCTCAAAAAACCCCGAGACTGGTTCCCCACATCTGGAGAAAGGCCACCTGTGACTCCCCTCCCAAGTGTTTCCACTCCATGTGGTTCTTACTTAAAGTCAACCCCTTCCTCTCCAAGCAATGAAGCAGAGAAAATGCTCCACTCCATTCCAGCCACACGGGGAGCCAGGATGGAGGAGGGGGTGCCTCTACTTCAGAGGTGACTCCAGAGCCAGGAAAGACCGGGAGGTACGCTCCAGCTTTCTGGTCACATCACCCCACTTTCTGAACCCCCAGAAGCCTGTGCACAGAGGCAGAACATGTTTGTAGGAACCAGCCCCTTGGGGTACAGAGCAGGGACCAGACTGAATGCAAAGGGAGATGCAGACTGAAAGCAAAGGGGTTTGTCACACTATTGTCTCTGCCTGTCTATGTCTGAAATTTCCCTTAACACAAAAGTTTAAAAAATTAAAAGTATCAACAGGAGGGGCTTCCCCAGGGGCTCAAACGGCAAAGAATCTGCCTGCAATAACCCAAATTCCATCTCTGGGTTGGATCAGGAAGATCCCCTGGAGGAGAGAATGGCTACCCACTCCAGTATTCTTGCCTGGAGAATTCCATGGACAGAGGAGCCTGGCAGGCTACAGTCCATGGGGTCACACAGAGTTGGACGTGACTGAACAACTACATACACACACACACACACACAAACACACACACCCCAAAGGGGATGCCTGGTGGTCCAGTGGCTAAGACTCCACTGCAGGGGGCCCAGGTTCCATCCCTGGTCAAGGAACTAGATCCTGCATGTCGCAACTAAGACCCAGCAGAGCTAAATAAACAATAAGTATTTTTAAAATAATAAAAAATAAAAAGAAGTATCAGCGGGTGAGCAGTGAAGCTGAGCAGAGGAGAACTGAAGCTCTAGCTCTGTAGTAGCCACCTGACCTCCAGCAGGTGACCTCTCTGCGTGTCAGCATCTCTGGTCCATAAAATGAGGATAATAAGAGTTCCTATCCTACAGGGTCTTGAGGAGAATTAAATGCATGTAAGGCATATAGCACAGTGCCCGACATGGAGTTTACACTTAGCAAATGTTAGTTGTGACCTTTTAGTCATAACACCATTATTACAACCTAGTCAGAGATATACCCCTCTCCCGAGGGTGGACACACATGAAATTTTAAGTTCTTATCCTCCTTCTGCTGCCAAAGTTTTGGAAGCTTTGAGGCTTGAGTACAGCAATGTAAGGAGGTAGTTAGACAGGAGGAGGAACTGGCAACTTTTGGAAACCTACAGCTACTGATAAGCACGACTCCACTCCCTGGACTTTTAAGTCTGGGGATCACCAACCATCATGAACAGCTCTATCACCCCAAGGAGCCCAAGAAAACCAGATGAACCCCTAAGAGCACCAAGGTAATGCTTTTCTCTGCCCTGAGCTTCCAGCGAGGCACTAGGGAAGTAAATGGTATGCTAACAGTTGGAAAGTAAAAGTGAAATTCTTTGTCACCCCGTGGACTATATAGTCCATGGGATTCTCCACTTCCCTTCTCCAGGGGATCTTCCCCACCCAGGGATCAAACACAGGTCTCCCACATTGCAGGCAGATTCTTTACCAGCTGAGTCACAAGAGAAGCCCACTGACAGTTGGGGGAGAGGCATTTACATACACAAGAGCAGTGAGGCTTCTCAAGTGGACCAGCAACTATCTATAGAGCCTGGGGCTTTGTTAATCAAATTCCAAGTTCACTGAATTAAAACATGCAGTTGCCAGACAGGACAGTTATACCCGCCAATGAAACAGAGAAGAGGCTGTTGACCCAAAAAGTCTTAGGGACCAGGGAGGGTGACCCTGGCCCCTAAATTAGTAAAAAGAGCTGCACGGGGGTGGGAGGCAGGGCTGGAACAAACCAGAAAGCATCTTCCCTCCACTCAGAGGTTGCCAAAGATAGCCAGAACATGATATTTGTTTCCCAAGAGAAGCAAAAAATCTGGATCTTAATAAGAAAACTTCCAAGTTTTAAACACAGGCAATTCATTTAAAAAACACTTAGCCATACCACCCTGAACATGCCTGATTGCATCTGATCTCAGAAACTAAGCAGGGTCGAGCCTGGTTAGCACTTGAATGGGAAAAAACATTTCAACCACTAAGCTAAGTACCAACCAAATGCCAGTTGAATGTGGCATTCTGACCACCAGGGGTAACTTCTGATAGGTACAGACATTTCCCCCAAAAAACTGGCCATCTACGACTCATGGATTATGCAGAAATTTGACTTAAATTTCTCTCTCCCTCCTCCCTATCAAACACACAAACATTCGCTTTAAAAAGAACCACAATGAAAAGTTCTCTTATGTGGGATTTGATCATGGTGGAGATTATCAGTGGGTAACCCGTACTGGCACGTACAACAGCTTTTATGCAAAATGTATTCCCAAGCACTGCCTGCCCTCCATCTGATGAGACAGCAGCTTGAAATGTCACGGCAAATGATAAGTACTGTTTTTTTTGCAACTGCTTATCTTGAGTGAATCAACTTTTTCTCAGTCCTGGTCAACTGCCTAAGACAGCAATTGTCAGTATTCTGGACTTCGTTTACATACTATTATCACAACATTTTCATTGCTCTCAAAATCTGATTATAAATGAAAGCTGTAGATTTAAATCTAAAAAGTGTTTTGATCAGCTTTTATGCAGCAGAATTGTCTCAAGGTTTCATATAAAAAAGAAGAGGGGGTTGGATAGTTTAAAATGTTGTATAACCAAAGACCTGATTTAATACTTTCATTTTATAGAGGAGGTTGAGTGATGGAGCAAGATGGCTTCCCCCAAAACCACTTGGGGGCTGGAATTTAACTCTTTCAACTCCCAAAGTCTACCATTTCTTTCCACTCTACTTGGCAAACCAAGCACTAATTATTACATGGGTAAAAAAAGTGAGCACACTGCAACTCAATCTTTTACTCTATACAATCATGTATTTTTCCCCAATCTAGGCAGACAAAAAATGCTTCTCCCATTTCCCTGCCTCAGATACATCCAAAGTCCCACAGCCAGTGGTCACTATTAAGAGGTGTGGCCCTACGGCCAGTCTGCCGGAAGAAGGTGACTGGTAACTGTCTCGCATGCTCATTGCTTTAAAACGTCTGCACTGCTGACCTCCAAACCCTCATTCAGTCTTCCCCAGAGCCCGATGGGGTGAGACTCATCACGCCCACTGCACAGATGGGAAGACTGAGGCCGGGAGGGGTCAGTGGCTGGCCCAAGATCACACACAGTCCTGCCCATTCCCTGCTCCAGACCCACCTCGGCCACCTGCAGAGCCCTGTCCTGACAGCAACAGCAGCGGCGACCACCAGGCACCGTGCTCCATGCACTGCACCCAGCACCTCCCTTTTTACGCCTTATGCTTAATGGGACTTTTTTTTTTTTTCATTGCAAAAGTAGTGTGCTACTTGGAACAAGCTAAAGAAAACTGAGGGATGCAAAGAAAAATTTAATTATCTCGCCGGCACATTTTCCCAAATCCCTCCAGGATATGCAGAAAATCAACATTAAATGTGAGGTGTGCATACTCTTCTCCTTGTTCATAGAAACACATGCAGATGTATACAGGAGGATTACTGTTTGTTACCAAGAAGTCAGACCTGGCCCCTCATTTCTGCTGCTGGTTTTCCTCATAAAATACCATCAACAGCTCTCAGGAAGAACAGAAACCCAATGAACTCAGGCTTCTAAATCAGCTTCGGGGCCCCACAGTATGGCTGGACCATAACTTACCCAGCTATTACACTCCTGAGAGGCATTCAGATGGCTCCCAGGTATTCAGCCAGCATAAGTAATGCTGCAGTTAACAGCCTGGTAATACATTCCTAGGTCTCAGTGCTTTCATTTCTCTAAAATAGAGCCCCCAGTGCCACTGTGAGGTCAAAATGCATGCCCATCTTAATTTTAAAATAGCATATTATCGTAATAAAAAAACATTCTCATTATAGGAACACAACTGTAAAAAGAACAACACACACACATAATCCCTCAACCCAGAGGTAGTTAACTATTAATACTTTGGTAAACTTCCTTCCAGAACAAATTGACACAGTAGAGTTAGCTGAACCTTTTTACTTTAATAGTCTCAGACTAAATTCCAATCAGACTAACAGGCACTCACATTCCCACCAAGAAGGTAGGAGACAGTCATTTCCCCACCCTGCCCCTCAACTCTATCCCATTCAAGACCTTTGCCTATCTAACAGATGAAAACAGGACATCACTGTCATTCCCACTGTCTATGTCCTGGACTAGAAGGGAGACAGAACACTTCTCATGGGTCTCTAAGGAATGGGCCAGACTTCGAAACCCAGGGGAAAGAGAAGCATTGTTTCATCGTTGGCTTAGGAATCGTCTTACCCATGCCGATGGCTGACAAGCACAAGAAAAGATGCTCAACATCGCTAATCATCAGGGAAATGTCAATCAAAAGCACAATGAGGTATCACCTCAAACTTGTTAGAATGGCCATCATCAAAGAGAACACGAATAACAAATACTGGCGAGGATGTGGAGAAAAGGAAACCCTCAGACACTGTTGGTGGGAATATAAACCGATGCAGCCACTGTGGAAAACAGTATGGAGGTTTCTCAAAAAAACTTACCACAGAGTTACCATATGACCCAGCATATCCACTCCTCGGTATACATATTCAGAAGGAACAACAGCATGAATTCAAAGAGATACATGACCCCAGTGTTCATAGCAGCATTATTAATAACTGTCAAGATACAGAAGCAACCTAAAGGTCCATCAACCGATGAATGGATAAAGATATCACACACACACACACACACACAATGGAATACTACTCAGCCATGAAAAGAATGAAATATTGCATTATTTCTATGAAATACTGAAATACTGCCATACCCAACATGGATGAACTTAGAGAGTATCATGCTAAGTAAAATAAGTCAGAGAAAGACAAACACTGTATGATATCACTTACACGTGGAATCTTAAAAATATAACAGACCAGCGAATATAACAAAAAAGAAAAAAACAGATTCACAGATACACAGAACAAATTAGTGGTTACCAGTAGAGAGGAAGGGAGGAGAGTAAGACAGGGTAGGGGATTAAGAGGTACAAACTGTAATATTATGCACAAAATAAACTACAAGGATATGTGGTACAACACAGGAAATACAACCATATTTCCATAATAATTATAAATGGAGTATAACCTTTAAAAAGTGTACACCTGTAATTTATACAACATTATACATCAACTATACTTCAATTTTAAAAAATAAGGTCAAACAAAACTATCAAAATCTTCAAAAACTGAATGGGGAAAAAAAGAATCATCTTACCGATTTTTGCTGTTCAAACATAAGTTTTTTATAGAAGAGATGGAACTGTTCAAAGCTGAGTTCATCTTTGTGTGCGCCTATTTCCTGTAAATATAAAAAAAAAAAGTGACCACACAATTTTTGGTGTCCACCACAAGAATGCCTCCTCCCTGTTCAGAGACATAGCCAGCTCTGCTTCAACACTGGCTAAAAGTAAACTTGCATTCCTCTGAACCCAATCTCCCTGCTTGGAGAACATACCCACTGGGGACCCCAGGTAAGACCCTTCAGCTCCCCAGAAGGGAAGGGTCTCAGCCAGAACTCCAACAGGCATAATGCAGAAGCCCTCCTTTTGGGGCAGGAGAATCTTTCAAATCTAGACATACTTATAGGGTATGTACACACACAGGTCATTTTTAAAAGCACAGCTTCCCTGGTGGCTCAGATGGTAAAGAATCTGCCTGCAATACAGGAGACCCAGGTTTGATCCCTGGGTCGGGAAGATCCCCTGGAGAAGGGGACAGCAACCCACTCTAGCATTCTTGCCTGGAGAATTCCATGGACAGAGGAGCCTGGCAGACTACAGTCCATGGGGTGGCAGAGTCGGACATGACTGAGTGACCTGCACTGTACTGTAAGAAAAAGAACCGAGCCTTTAGAGTTAATAGAGCTCAACTCCAGTCACGGCTCGTCCCTTGAACCGCTTCACAGCTTCCCTGGTAGCTCAGCTGGTAAAGAATCCACCTGCAATGCAGGATTCCCCGGTTCAATTCCTGGGTTGGGAAGATCTGCGGGAGAAGGAATAGGCTACCTACTCCAGTATTCTTGGGCTTCCATTGTGGCTCAGCTGGTAAAGAATCCACCAGCAACATGGGAGACCTGGGTTCAATCTCTGGGTTGGGAAGATCCCCTGGAGAAGGGAAAGGCTACTTCCTCCAGTATTCTGGCCTGGAGAATTCCATGGACTGTACAGTCCATGGGGTTGCAAAGAGTCGGACACGACTGAGCGACTTTCACTTCACTTTGTCCAACTCACTTAGCCCCCTCAGACCCTCAGCTCCTTCCTCTGTAAAACAGGAGAACTGCCACTAGCCCCCTAGGACTTTCCTGAAATCAAACCAGGTAACATTCACACAGCACCTGCTTGGTAAAGGCAGGATAAGGGACAAAATCCCAATTATGGGATGGCCAGTGGTAAATGCTTCTCCCATCTCTCTTCTCTCAATTCCCACCCTTCTCTGGTTTTGCCTTCTTGGACTAGTTGGAAATGATGGGGGTGGGCCAAAAGATGGCCAAAAAATGCCATAAAATGGGTTAACTCTTCCGGGAACTCATGGGTACAAAATGAATGAGATTTTTTCAGCTGAGGAATCCTGTGACATGGCCCCGAGAGCCTCCAACTGGGACTCTTGGGGTGGAGTCCTGCTGGGGGTCCTTGACAAGAGTCCGGACCTCTGTGAAGGCCAGAAAGGATGCCCAGGGGTCATCTCCATCCTTACACCCTTCAGAAGAACCCCACCCACCCTCACTCATGAAACAACCTGCCCCAGATCTACCAACCGCTTAACTACACAGGAACAGAAATGAAATGATGGCGGAAGAAGGGATGGAAGGAAGGATGGGTGGGTGGAGGGGGCGCTGGGAGGAGGGGAAGGGCAGAGAAGAGCCAACGCCGACAGCTCCACTGTCAGAGCTTGCATACACAATGCCACCTCCCTGCCAACCTCCATAAGGAATCGTTCATAATATTTTCCAAATGAAACACATGTGTTCATATTATTAAAAGAAAAACAGGCTGTGGGTTGGTGAGGGCAAGGGAAAGTTAGACTGATGGAAACATCCTGAGCCAAGCAGCTCGGTAAACATGGTCTTCCTGGATGACACCCTCTGTCAGGATGGAGAACGCGGGCCTAAGAGTTTCACATGCTCCCCCGGTCTGGACTAAGACAGATGAGTCTGGAGACGGAGGGCTTTCCTGAGCACACCACACAACAGCGCCTGAAGGCATGCGGTGGCTTCGTGGGAGAGGCACACATAACCCCAGGATCGCCAGGCTGAGCCGCGAAACTTACCAGGAACTTATCTTTGAGGAACTTGGCACTGCTCACTTTGAAGTTGACCAGGGGCAAGATGGTCTTCAACTCCCGGAGGCTGATGCTGCAAAAGAGGGGAACCCCAGCTCCATCAGCCTCGAGGGGTTTCAACAGTGGAAGGTCTGGCCACTCCCACCAGCTCCCACCTCAACGAGAAGACCTGCCACCAGCTCTGAGTGACTGCTGACTAGGGACAGAGGGCCCGAGGTCAAGGTGGGGGTGACGCCCCGTGTGCAAGGATGGTCCCCACCATCAGGGGACCAGCCGTGGACGCGGGTCACGGTGCAGATGCACAGAGTGGGCAGAAACACTGTCAGATGACCTTGGTAGATAGGATATGTCACTGGGGTTCAAACCAAAAGGAGGTCCCTGAAGGCCAGAGATGAGGAAGGGAAAAAGCCAACCTCTTCTGAACACCTACTATGTGCCAGGCTGCCCTGGATACCTCCCAGCAATGATGTCACCTCGCCTCTCACTGCACTCAACCCTCAGGGTTCAGAACAGGCACTGAGGGCGGGGGCCAGGACACTCAAGATCAGAGCTGCCCTAAAGACCTTAGAAGGTGGATTATCACCATTATCACAAGTCCATCCTAAAGGAAATCAACCCTGAATATTCACTGGAAGGACTGAAGCTGAAGCTCCAGTACTTTGGCCACCTGATGCAAAGAGCCGACTCATTGGAAAAGACCCTGGTGCTGGGAAAGACTGAAGGCAGGAGGAGAAGGGGGCAACAGAGGAGGAGATGGTTGGATGGCGTCACCGACTCGATGGGCATGAGTTGGAGCAAACTCCGGAAGATAGTGAAGGACCAGGAAGCCTGGCGTGCTGCTGTCCATGGGGCTGCAGAGACTCGGGCATGATTTAAGAGACTGAACAAGGACAACCTTGATTCCTCTGCATTCCAGGTGAAGAAACCGGGGCTCAGAGAGGTTCGGTGCTGGCATGTGGGAGAGAAGACTGCAGAGGAGATGGCCTCTGGGTCTGCCCACAAGCGCTGCATTTAGCTGCTCCCAGGGAGCGGCAGGAACAGAGTCGGGGAGGAGGTGGTCCAGGGCACGCGTTCCAGACCCTTGTGGCTACAGAGAGCCCAGTGCTCAGCAGAGCGAGCAAGGGTGGTCCTGGGGAGCCTCCGGCTGTGGCCAGAGAAAACTGCGCGTGTTCTCAGAGACGCCAGGCCAGACAGGGGCTGTGCGCGGCCAGGAAGGAAGTCTGCCCGGGCTGTGGGCGGACGACAGCCCCGCTTCCCCCACCCCGTCTACTCGCCCAGAAGCAAGCGGCACGTCCCAGCCAGCAGCCGCCCCAGGAGACAGCCAAGCGGCCTCCTGGCCGCCTCGTGGCCCCACCCCCAGCATCCTTGCCTCTCGTCTAACGGCCTCCCTGATGCCAGAGACCGTCACGGGCCTGGTGCCCCCCTATGCCCCCTGCTCCTGGGGCTGGCACCCAGGGCTTCCCCCAAGAGACGGGAGCCACACAAAGTCCCCAGCGCGCCAGGCGGGGCTGGCCGGGCAGAGCAGCAAGCAGACTGGCTGAGGCCCCTTTCCCACCCTGCCCTGGGGTGTCCACGAAGAGCCTGCCAGAGTGGGGTGAAGGGAGGGGAGTTGGGGGGGGGCTGGCGCTGCAAAGCGAGGCAGGGTGAGGGTCTGGCCAAGACGGTGGCCCCGGGGGCTCACCCAGGACCAGGGGAGAGGAGAGAGTGTCCTGCGAAACCCAGAACTTCCAGGCAGAAACAGGGCCAAGAGACTCTCCCCCAACCAGGAACAGAGACACCGGGGAGCCGGGAGCCAGGGCGGCTGCTGGGGACCAGGGGGGCAAACGCAGCCTCCTGGGGTGTGAGAATCTGAGCCCCCTGCTCCAATGGGCCCCCCTCAGAGCAGAGCAGCTGAGCCTCCAGGTAAAGGCGGGGGCTGAAGAGCTCCTCGGGGCTCCGGTGCAGGGACCTCTCCCTCCCTCCCCGCCCCGGGCGTGTGGTCAGGCCCCACCTGACTCCCAGCCAGGACTGGCACTCGGATTCTCAGCCACTGGAGGGCAGGAAGCTAGCAGCTCCCAGCTTCACCCCTCTCCCTGTCCAGGACTTGTCTTCAAAGAAAGAGAGGGCCTCGGCCACGGTCACGCCCTGCCCTTTGGCCTCGATTCGGGGCAGTTCTGCAGGGCCATCCCGGAGCTCCGCCAGGGAGCTGAGACCGTGGTTGCGACAGCATCCAAGCCCAACAACTCTCCCGGCCTTCACTTCCATGGGTGCGGGTCCCCTACACATTCCATAAGCTTCCCGCACACAGACCCACAGCTCACGTTGTTCCCTGCAGGCTCGGCCTGTGAAGTGGGCTAGGAACTGGGGCGATTCCTTTGGGGAGAGATGGCAAAAAAATGATTCCTTGCCCTAGAGGCAATAAACAACCAGGGCCCCTCCCCTCCTCAGGCTGGCCTGGTCCCAGATCCCACCACACTGCACCCCGGGGGGGTTGATGGCCCCAGAAAACTTCCCTGCCATGCTGAGGCTGATTACCAACAGGCCCACCATCCCTGGCTTATTGTAACAGTGGTGGCTCAGATGGCGAAGAATCTGCCTGCCATGCAGGAGACCGGGTGTGGATCCTGGGTCAGGAAGATCCCTGGAGAAGGAAATGGCAACCCACTGCAGTGTTCTTGCCTGGAAAACTCCATGGAGAGAGGACCCCGGGAGTGGGACACGACTGAGCGACTAGGCCACCACCACACCCACCGCCGCAGGCTGGGCGCTGGCCAAGCGCTTCTCACACACTAACCCACTGAATCCTCACACCGATCCCAGGAGGTAGGAACCGGGATCTCTTTCATAAATTAGGAAACCAAGGCACAGGGAATTGAGCAATTTACCCAAACTCATCCAACCAGTAAGAGTGAAGAGCTGAGAGCAAACCTTGGTGCTGCCCAACAGAATGGTCTACAGTGTTGCAAATGTTCTAGATCGGAGCATCCAAGGCAGCTAGGGCGACCAAGGAACCGAATTTTTTTAATTTTATTTGACTGTAATTAACTTAGATTTAAATAGTCACATGTGGACAGCGCAGCTCTAGAAGCTTGCTCCTCTAAGTAGGGTCCCTGGACTGGCAGTATCAGCGTCAGCTGGGAATCTGCTGGAAATGAAAATCTCTGATCCCCACCCAGAGAGAGAGAAGCAGAGTTTCTGTGGGGCAGGCACAGCCACCCCCGCTCCCCACCCCCCCGCCAGGCTGTCCTGGAGCCAGGACTGCTGACCATGGGGAACCGATTTGCCTTCCTGTTGAAGAGAGAACCAGACTACACACCTGTAAGCCTGCCCCTTCTGCGTCCCGAAGGCCAGGCTGAGCGAGAACAGGAAGTGAAGGCTCGGCTTATGCAAAGTCAGGGTTACGGGCCAAGGGGCAAGGGCAAGGTAGGAAAGAAACGTCCACAACCCTGAGGGCTGCGCGCCCCTCCACAGGACCCACCCGTGAGCCCCACCCTAAGGAATACAGTTCCAGGGGCTGTCCAGAAGGTCCAGGGGCTTTCTCAAGGGATATTTTGACAAGAGAAGTTTTCACCTAATGCACTGACCTTAGAAACCTAATTCCCAGATAAAAGGCAACTAAACTCCACAGATTCAAAAAGAGGGGGTTTCTGGAAATCTGGCCAGGGTAAATGTTAAAACATTCCTGCCTTAGACCCAATGTCCCCAGGCCTGGAGATGTCATAAGGAAAGCTTCCAAAGGGGGAATGATCTAGTTGTCTGATGCTACACGAAGGAATGAAAAGGGAGGGCCTTTCGTTTCATCTGACCAACCGGCCAGATCCCTGACCTCAAGGAGCCCCTTCAACGTGAACAGCAACAACGAGGACGAAATTCTAAGAAAGCAGATGGAACTGCGGAGCCTGGCAGTAAGGCCAGAATCCTACAGTGACCCCAGAAGTGCTTCTTGTGGGGGCACTTCCTACCGCGTCGTATGTCCACTTCGAAACGCGAGACACAAACCAAATGACAAACAAAAGGCAACTTTTCAAGCTAGATATCAAATCCCACTGGTTGAATTATAATGTAGGCGTTGATATCCATCCCAAAAGAGTTACAAGGAAACGTAAACATGTTTACGATTTAAGGGGAGGTGAAAAAAATAGTTTGCCCTCCTTTCACATGGGCTGGACTTAGTGACTGATTCCCAGAAAATAGAGTGGGGATGGCCGGGGGTGGGTGGTTGGCAGGTGGGGGTCATTACAAAGGAGAGATCTGGAAAACACCACTTTGGCCAGATGGTCAAGATTTCCATCACCCTTGACAGACCATGTTAGAACAGACAGCCTTTGACTGAGGTGAAGGAAAAGACCTTCACCTCCAGAATGTTCGCCTCCATGTGTTCTTCCCAAACACAACCTCGGGTTACCCTTAACTCCAGTCTAACTGTGACGAAAATGCCAGATCCACACAAATGGAGGGGCATGCTACAGAATGCCCAAGACCTACTCCTCCATACTGTCAAGGTCGGGAATTCTCCAGTGGTCCAGGGGCTAAGACTCCACACTTGCAATGCAGGGGGCCTGGGTTGGATCCCTGGTTGGGGAACTAGATCCCACATGCTGCAACTAAGAGATCACATGCTGCAACTAAAAGAGAAAAAAAAAAAAGATTCTGCACACAGCAATGAAGATCATGTTATGTGCATCTACCATTCAGCCTTAAAAAGGAAGGAAGTTCTGACACCTGCTATAGTAACATATATGATCCATGAAGACATCACACTAAGTAAAATAAGGCAGTCACAAACGCAGCATCCTTCCACTCAGGCGGTACCCGTAGGAGGCAAATTCAGAGACAGAAGAAAGAATAGAGGTTACCAGCAGCTGCAGGAGGGAAAATGGGGTAACGGTTTGATGGGAAGAGTTTCAGTTTTGCAAGATGAGAAGAGCTCTGGAGACAGACGTTGAAGGCAGCGTGGCAACACGAATGCACAGAAATGTACCCTGAAAATGGTAAGTCTTATGTTACGGATAGTTCATCACAATGAATGAGTAACTTTCAGTCACAGGAAGTCACAGCGGGAAGAGATTTCTGCCTTTTAGAGCTTAGTGATCAATAAGCCACGGCTGACTGGCTGGGGTGCTCTGTTCAAATGACAACCGCTCGTGGCCTCAGCATCCTCATAAAATGGCCCAGAGGATGCCTAGCTGCTCAGTCTGCCAGTATCCGTTCCATAACCTCTCCCCAACTCACTAAGTCCAGAGAGCGCTCAGAACAGCGGCTGCCACAAAGCCACATCTCGACAGAAAGCCACTTCTCGACAGACGCCAAGGCTGAAAAGTGAAACACACGTTCAGGCCAAGGAAAACCCAGGAGCGGGCCCTGCCCGAGCCCGCCCGCCCTGCCCAGAGGACGCTTGACTCCGTGCTGCGCCTTTGTTCTCCAGGAAACGTCACTTGGGCGACAGGAAAGGAGGGGAAACTGGCAGGAGTCAAGAGCCCTTTTATGGGCACCTTGGGCAAAGCTCCTTTAGAAGAGCTCTCTCAGGGCCTCACAGAGCCACGTGAAAGGCGGGATTTTCCACATGCTGACAGAGCAGCAGGGCTCAGCCCACCCGGAGGCAGGGAGGGATGTCGGGGGGCAGGGATGGGGAACAGCGAACAAGGCGTCAAGGACAGAGACAGACTCGCTCTCTGCAGAAGGTTCTGAAAAGCACTTCTCAGTGAAGGAATTGCAAGAATTGTTCTGAGCAGAGAAAGCCGGGCTTCCGTTTCTAGACAACATAAGACGGAGAGCAGACCCTGCAACCAGACCGATGATGCCGTATACCCCACCTCGTGGAGACAGGGCCCTGGCGGGCTCCCTCCGTCCACTCTGTGCCAACCTCAGCTGTGAATCTCCGGGCAGCCAGAGAAGGGAAATGGTCATGGGAGGCTCCACCCTGAGTTTGAATGAGCCCAGTGTGTACAAAGGCCCCCAGTGCAGGGATCTCGTTTGATCCGCCTCTGAACACCAGGCCCAAGCTCAGGGTGTGGGACCAGAGGATGCTGGCCGGACAGGAGGAGGAGGAAGAGGGAGGGAGGGAAAGGCAGATGGAAAGAGACAGGGAGACGCTGGCTGACCTAACAGCATCGGTTAACTCTCCACCACTTCCTGGTTATACCATGTGCAAATCACCCCTCGGGGCATGCGAGGACCACGGAGGCTCTGAAATTGACAAGTGATGGGTGACACCGGCCTGACACCAAAATGCCTTGAAGATGGACTTTCAGGGGCAAGTTGGGTAGGGACTTCCCTGGTGGTCCAGTGGTTAAAACTCTGCACTTTCACTGTTGGGGGCGTGGGTTCAATCACTGGTGGGGAATTAGCTCCCACGTGCTGTGCAATACGCGAGGAGAGCGTTACAGAGGTTACTTGTTGCCTCGTGTATGAAGCTGACATCTCTTAACGGAGAACGGAAAGAAGGAAAGACATTTCAAAATGCTGCAAAAGGTCTGATGTGAGGCTAAAATGATACAGTGATTGTCAAGTGCTGAGGACAGCGCCTGGCATGCGAGGTGCTCCATAAATGGTGGTTTTTATCATTACACTATTAATGGGAACTGGATCATAACCCCCCCAAAAAAAAATTGATGAGAGGATGTTCAACCTCTCCCATAAATAAAGAAATGCAAATTTAAGCCAAAAATCCACTGCTGCTTTTCACCCATCAGGTTAATGAAGGTCAAAGTCTGGTGACACATGGAAAAGAGGACTCCTCTGAACCGCTAGTAGAAATATAAACTGCCATCACCTCTCTCAAACTGTCAGACCCAACGACGTCTGGCTTCTGGAATTCCTCTTATAGGAATCTATCCTGTTCATATCTGTGTCACACACATTTACAAAAAGGAGACCCAGGGATTTCTCTGGTGGTCCAGTGGCTAAGACCCCACGGTCCCAATGAAGGGGGCCCAGGTTTGATCCCTGGTCAGGGAATTAGATCCAACAAGCTGTAACTAAGAGCTTGCATGCCACAACTACAGATCCCACCTGTGCAATGAAGATGGAAGATCCTGCAGAACTCAACTGAGAACCGGCCCCGCCAAACAAACAAATAATAATAAATAATAATATTTTTTAAAAGGGAGACCTAAAAGTTTTCACAGCTTTATAACAAAGAAACAACGTGATGTTCATCGAGAAAGAACTGGTTTCCCATCAATATGGCAATTACACCACATCTATCCAAGGACAAATCACATTTGTTCCAAAAATGTGTGGCACAGAGCCTTGTGTGTGCCAAGAGAGAACCGCTCCAAGACGTGCTATTAAGTGAAGCAGTCAGGGACGCTGAATTACAGGCTGTCACATCGCCTGTCTCGTGTTCACCCAGCTCTTAGAAGCATCGCCCCCGAACTGGGTTTACTTCTGATGGTCAATCTCCACCACAAAGGACGGGCGGGCACCTTGGGGATCCTGTTTCTCCCCAGGACACAGAAGACGCTCAAACGCGAAGGCCTAAGTCACGTGGTCCGAGTGCTTCACGTAGCAGAGAAGTCCTCCCCGCAGATGGAGTGGCATTTTCCACTGCAATGAGACCCCACACGGGTGGAGATTTTCTATCACCATGACCCACACCATTGAGCACTGCATCCACCGCCGTGTTAAGTCAAATCTGACTTCACGAGGACCTTTCCACAGCACAGAACTCACTCCAACCCCTTCAGAATATTTCAAGAAAGAATGAGATGATCCAAAATGATCGGGAGGAAACCACAAAAATGCAAGCGAAGCTTACCTGTTTCTCCTGGTTTGGTCCACAGAATAAATCTGCTTTCTCAACCAACTGGGAAGAGAGATGAGACAGAGAGAGGGAGAGTTAGAAAATCAGAAAGCTACACTCACAAGTCCAAGGAAGTTCTGTAGGATGGGACACGGAGCCTGGAAATGAAAACGAAGGTCTTTCCACTTTCTAAACACCAGTGACCTGGGAAGCAGCAGCTTCTCCGTGTGGGTGAAATGTCACCCTGCCAAGCCAAGCAGCCAAGCCAAGGACTCACAGAGGCTGGATTCTTTAAACTGACAGTTCCCTCTGATGCTCTCTGTTAATCTCCCAAAAAGCTGGGAAGAGAAACGGTCGAGATCAGAGGGTTCACTGGATGGACAGCAATTCACTGATGGACACCCAAGTCCCTCCAGACACCCAAGACACTGATGGACTGTCCTGAGAAGGCCCTCATCAAGCCAGGAGGAAAACCCCAGACCTCGAGCCAGAGGTCCTTCGATCAGTCAGCTTAATCTCTTCTTAAATCCTCTGAGAAATAAGCCTGGGGCCCTCCCCTCAGACCCAACACCAGGACGAGTTTCTGTCTCAATCCCGGTGCCCTTCTCACCCCGGCAGAACAAGGCCCAGGGAGATGGAGGCTCTTCTGGGAGATGCTGGAGTGTCCACAGCCACGACTGGACACCTACTGCATACAGGGCACTCCAGGAGCCTCTAAGACGAAATGTCTCCTCTTCCTTTCACCATACTGGCTAGAGGGAGCAGAACAGACGCCCGAGTGAGCGAATACGGAGAGAAACAGGCAAAACCATTACCTCTCGATGATGGTGGGGGTGGACGCGCTCATCACTTCCTGGTGTAAGATCTTCAAGCCAGACAGCCACTTAGCGGCATCTTCCTTCGAGTCGGCTGGAGAGGGGAGGGGCCAGAAATGCGGTGTTACTCCGTGGGAAGATCTCTGCTGGATACTCCCACCCCACACAGACCACGGGGATGGGAGGAACCCGTGCTGGTCCCTGGGACCTGCTTTTTGCCCATGGTGAGCCTCCCTACAGCAGGAGTGACAAGTCAGTAGAGCTTTAGCTTTAGTCCTAGTCCTATACTAACGAACAAGAGGCAGAACTCAGGACAACTTGGACCACGATCCTGAGAGCCCTCAGCACCTCCCTTGTTTCCCATCAAGCCCAAAGAGAGGGCCGCCAAGTAGGCGAGGCTGATGCCTGTAAGGGAAGCAGCAACAAGCGGTGGGTAAGAGCTTGGCATCATCCCCAAGTCCCACTGTACCGCTTCAGGGCTGTGTGATGTTCAGCTGGTTACTTAACCTCTCTGTGCCTCATTTCCTCATCATAAAATGGAGCTGGCAATGCAAACACGTGGTCCTGCTATTAAACATCTTTTCACACCACCACGGGCTTTGTTCGCCTGGACAGAGCATGCCGAGGTCTCTGCTCTCATTCTTCCCAGGTGGATGAAGAGAAAGGTGTGGCTAGGAAGGGTGAAGGGAAGAAGCCAGGATCCAGCCATCAAGCTGGCATCCTGGGCTCCACATCGTGCGTGGGCTTTCACGGCCTCCCTACCAAGAACAGCAACCAGGCCTCAGCCTGCAGCCGGGCTAAGTGGACAAAGCTCTGAAGGTTCAGGGTCACGGGCCCCTCTTTCCTGTCCCGTCCCCGCCTCCTGCCACACCCCCTCCATCAGACATTCACCCATCACTTCCCCTATCCGGCTTACCATTTCCCTCCTCCAAGCCTGGCACATGCAATGCTCTCTCCCTGGACCATCCTCCCTCTTTCCTCACAACTCCTACTGATGCCTCAAAACCCAGTTTAAAAAAAGTTACCTCCCCAGCAAAGCCTTCCAGGGAATTAGGCACCATGTATTCCTCCAGCACAGTGTATTACGTTTAGACTACGGCTCTTATCAGAGAGGACTCTAAGTTCCTGTCCACACGTCTGTCTCCCCAAGTAGACCGTGAGCTCCTTAAAGGTGGTAACTGGGTCTAAGTCTCATTACAGCCCCACCGACATCTAGCATAACCCGAACAGAGCATATGCTCAAAAGATGCCTGAGAAAAGCATGAATGAGAAATTAAACCAGTGAGAGTCATCGGACCTGAAATTAAAAGTCCCTAATGCTACTCAGCTTCCACAGTTTCCCCCCACTTTGGTTTATTTTTAATGCTACTTATTTTCTCTCTTGTCCACCATGATTTTATATCAAGTTCTAAGTCAAGAAATTCTGGGGTTAGACCTGAAGGTAGCTATAAGCTTCCGCCCCTGAGCCAAGTGCCTGAGCTTTTTCAGTTCCTCTCCCACTCAAAGGCCTCTTTGACTTTCTGGTGGATTCACAAGGATGACCAGATGTCACACCTCCAGACTCTGTCTATGAGTATGCACTGTGTGCGTGCGTGTATACATGTATGAGATAGAAGATTTCAGGATCGTTCCTTTTTATCAGTTAAGCTGAATAAATGGTGCAGGCCACACTCGGCTGGACAAAAAAATGTAACCCGCCTGGACAAAAAAATGTAACCTGCCTGGACAAAAAAATGTAATCTGCCTTCGGCTCTCAGCACAGCATGAGCCAAACAGGCCCTTAACACAATCCTTTCAACATCCCCACGAGGTCAGCATGAGGACAAGCTGGGTCCTGGTTTACAACTGAGTAAACTGTAGCTCAGAGAGGCGGAGTCACTTACTCAAAGCCACACAGCTACAGAGGGGCAAGACCAGGATTCAGAACTGTGATGCAAACACGCATCAGCAGGGCGGTGGCGGGCTGAGCATCCGCTGGAGAACTCTCTCTCAGAAGGAGGAAACCCAGGCCCAGGGAGGGACGCGCACACGCGGGCACCCACCTGCCAGGCTGAGCGTGCTGAGCACAAACTGGGTGCCGTAGAGGATGGTGAAGCAGCACTCGTCCTTCTGGCGGACTGCTTTCGCGCGCTCGAAATCCTTGGAGTTCTTCCCTGGCCGGATCTCCTTTATCTCCATGATGTCCACTGAAGGAAAAGTAACAGCAGCCGGTCAGAAGCTGGATGTCACTCCCTCTGAGGCTGCCGCCATGTGCCTGCCCCCCAGAGACACCCTGCCCAGCTCTTCACTGCCCAGGGTGAAGACAAGCTTGACCAGCCCCAGGCCCTGCCCGTTCACAGCTGTATGTGCAAATAATAAAATGCGTGCGGTTCTCAGGCACTCAGGGCTGGGAGAGCTGTTGCATAGCCATGCTGCGAGTCACTCAGTCGTGTCTGACTCGTCACGACCCTATGGACTGTAGTGTAGCCCGCCAAGCTCCTCTGTCCATGGTATTCTCCAGGCAAGAATACTGGAATGGGCTGCCGTTCCCTTCTCCAGGGGATCTCCCCATCCCAGGGACTGAACCCAGGTCTCCCACATTGCAAGCAGATTCTTTACCGTCTGAGTCACCGGGGGAAGCCCTAGATGACAGAAAAAGAGGAAATTCATCCTCCCCAGAACCCCGGCCACGGGACTCTGACTTTCCCCTGGGCAAAGGTCAGGACGGCCCCTGACTCAAAGGTGAGCCCTTCCCCTCACAGGATGGCCATTTGTTGCAAGATGAACCCCCCTCCTATCTCAGGATGTCCAGTGAACTAAGGAGTGTCACAAAGAGACAAGTCCTTCCATCGTTTCCTCCTTTTCTTCAGTCAGAACCTTTTCCTGGGATGGACCCACTTCCCATGCCTGAGATGAAGGTGCTCCACTCCCCTCCCACCACAACAGGCCAAAGGAGGGGCCCAGTGTCCCAGAAATGACCAAGGCATCCCACCTCTTGGTCAGGATTCAGAGAGGAGCACACGGCCTAAGCTGGGCCTGCCAGCATCCTCCTGGGGCTTACTTGGCCAAAGCCACTCATCACATTTCTCCTGCTGCTGCTGCAGGCTGACAAAACATGAGTCGAGGGGTGGCAGGGTCCATGCTGCTGGGCACGTGGGAAGCAAAATGACTCAGTCCTGATGCACTATCAAACTCCTGGGTCCGTTTGGGCTTGACGCCTCTTCTGCATTGGAACACACTATCTACGTGACCTAATCGATTCTCTTTTTTGCTTTGGTGAGTGGGAAATTTCTGTCGCATGCAACCATAAGAATCCTGAGACATACACCTCCAGTGTTGCGATGAACAGAGAAACAGGAAAGAGAGGTATTCCTGGATATGAGAGGGTAGGAAGGAGACCTCAGCCTTGACCTGGAGTCCAAGAAGCAAACAGACCCACGTGAACCAGGGCATCTCAGAGTCAGTTGAAGCAGCAGGAAAGGTTCGCAGCTGTTCACACATAACCGCAGAATGAGGTATGCGCATGCTCACTCATGTCCGACTCTGTGACCCCGTGGACTGTAGCCCACCAGGCTCCTCTGTCCATGGGATTCTCCACGCAAGAACACTAAAGTGGGTTGCCATTTCCTCCTCCAGGGGATCATCCCGACCCAGGGATCGAACCTGAATCTCTTGCATCTCCTGCATTGGTAGGCGGATTCTCCACCACTAGCGCTACCTGAAATGGTATAATTTCGTTTTTTTTAAGGTTGAGTTGTCAGACCATCATAAATTTTCATCATTTTTTATATGGACTCAATTTTGGTTTCTTTTGTTTCGGTGTATAGTTTTAGGGAATTTTATCACATGTACAGACTCATGTAGCCACCACCACACACAGGGTTTAGAAGAGGGGAGATACTTAAATTAGGGGAGGAAGCGGGTAGAAGGAACTAAAGGCTTCCACTGTCTTACCATGGATCTAGCCAGACTGGAAACAGTTTGGGGGACAGGAGTCCTGAAGTAAAGTGAAACAACTTTAAATAAACAGCATTTGTTCTGCACTCTGTGTGTGGTGGTGGTTACACAAGTCTATACATGTGATAAAATTCCTTAAAACTATCCACCGAAACAAAAACAAACCAAAACTGAGTCCACATAAAAAAAATGATGAAAACTCATTATGGCCTGACCACTCAGCCATAAAATAGAATGAAATTATACCATTTGCAGCAACTTGGATGCAACCCGAGATTACCACAGTAAGGGGAGTAAATCACAAAGAGAAAGATAAATACTTCATGGTATCACTTACATGGTCTTTGTCGGTAACTCAGTGGTAAAGAATCCACCATCTATGCAGGAGACACTGCACAGTTTGATCCCTGGGCTGGGAAGATCCCCTCGAGGAGGAAATGGCAACCCAGTCCAGGATTCTTGCCTGGGAAATCCCATGGACAGAGGAGCCTGGTGGGCTACAGTCCAGGAGGGGTGCAAAGAGTCAGACACAACTGAGCGACGGGGCACACACACATCACAAATTTGTGCAATCAAAAATATGACACAAGCGAACCTATCTATGAGCCAGAAACAGAATCAGGGACATAAGAGGACTGACTGGGTTGCCAATAGAGGCGGGTGTGAGAGGGAGTTGCCCTGGGAGCTTGGGATTAGCAGATGCAAACTGGTATATACAGAATGAATAAACTACAAGGTCCAACTGCAGGGTATCCTGTGATAAGTCATAATGAAAAAGAATGTATATATATGTGTAAATGAGTCACTCTGCTGTACCGCGTAACTGACATAACAGTGTAACTCAATTATACTTCAATAAAAAATAAATTTTAAAAAAACCTAATTATGGTCTGCAGTTTAATAACATTTTACCAGCATCAATTTCCTGGGTTTGATAACTATGGTTATGAAAAATATTATCATGGGGGGAAATTACATGAATGGCACACAGAAACTTCGTATTATTTGAATCTATAATTGTTTCAAGCCAAAAAAAAGTTTTTGAGACACTTACAGATTATGAATGGTCCTATTACTGGGGGGGGTCTCTAAACCTTGCTGGGTAGGGAGGTATAATCCCACCCTTCCTCCAACCCTGAAACCGGGGAATCTCATCTTTTCTTCTTATCCTCATTCCTCAAAAGCCAACAACAAAACACAAAGAGCCTTTGTGTGCGCTCAGACGCACCACCTCCTGAGAGGTCAGACCAGCAGTGCTGATCTGCCTGCGTTAGCAGTTATCTGGGAACATCTAAGGTATTAAGGTCTGTTCTCAGAAACCACTTACTCACCCACCCAGCCAGTCAAGAGTCTAGCAACTTTAAGTAAATACTCTTTTTTCCCCCCGAGTTAGTCTAGCAATGATTATCTAACCATTCTCTTTCCCCATAAAATATTGCTAAGAGGGAATCTCTGAATTGGCCTACTGTGAGCTTTTTTCCTTACAGCAAAATTATAATAAACATATGACTGTTAAAAGGGGAAGGGGACAGGACTTCCCTGGCGGTCCAGTGGTTAAGAATCAGCCTTCCAACGCAGAGGGCACTGGTTCGACCCCCGGTCAGGGAACTAAGATCCCACATGCCTTGCGGTGTAGCCGAATAAATACTTTTTTAAAAAAGAGGAAGGGGAGAGTGACGGGGACGCGGGGACAGACCTCGAGATGGGACATAGTGGGAGACGGAGGGAGACAGGCACGCACAGATATGCACACACACAAACAGGGTAAACGGGGTCAGGGACAACCAGACACGAAGAGAAGACAAGCTCCCCAGACGAGGAGGCAGAGGGACACAACCATGCAAAGAGAGAAAGCGGGGCTTCCCTGGTGGGCCAGCGGTTAAGAATCTGCCTTCCAACGCAGAGGGCACTGGTTCGATCCCTGCTCCGGGAACGAAGATCCCACACATCACAGAGCAACGAAGCCCATGCCCTCCAGAGCTCGCACACCACAACTACGGAGTTTACGGGGCTGTGGCAAAGAGCCCACGTGCCGCAACTGAGACCCAGACAGACAGACGTGTTTGTGAAAGACAGAGAAACCAGGAAATGGGAAGAGAAGGAAATACAGCAGCTACTCAGACGACACAAACAGCCCCGAGGACCCCTACACCACCGCCCCTCACTTCAGTGCAAGCGAGCACCCTTTGGAGGCCAGCCCTGTCCCGGGAGACGGCTGCACGTGTCCACCCTCAGCGGCAGGGCTGGACACCTCCATGACGTCACCCTGACCGCTCCCCTCTTTCTTTGCCCAAATAAGTCCTGGCCTATTCATCATACTTCCAGTAAGACCATGCTCTCTCCACTGGAGCCTCCCTTCCACTATCAAAAGTCAGCTGACTATCTGTGTGAGTGTATTTCTGGTCTCTCTCTTCTGTCCCGTGGATCTATTGTTTCCCTGATTGTCCTCATAACTATGACTTTACTGTAAGTCTCAGAGTGAGGCTGCAACCTCCTCTGACTTTGTCCTTAAACACTGCACTGGCTGTCCCAGGTGTCTTGCCTCTCTATATGAACTTGAGGATCAGACTGTCAATATCTACAGAAGAACCTGCTAGGATACTGATGGAGACTGTGTTGACTACACTTGGTTGCAGAGAACTGACATATCGAGTCTTTCTACTCATGAAGGTAGAGTATTGATTCATCACACCTTGTCAGCCAGACAATCCCCTGACTGTACACAGTCCTGGCCCCCAACAGTCTTACAGACACAGTGATTTCAACCGTGAGAATACAAATCCAACCAATGATAATCACGTGCAACTCACACAGAGCACACACCATAATGCCAAGCATGCTGCCAGTGCTTTGCCCAAGTCACCGGTTGTTTCCCTGGAAAGCTCCTCACTAGCACCACCTGCAATTCAGGCTCATCTGTTTACTGCCCATCCACTCTCTCCTCCAAGCCCCAGCAGGACAAGGGTCGTGTCCGTCCTGCACACAACTGGAGCCTCACAGCCGCCTGCATAATAGCCTGGCTTGGAGCAGAGACTCAGACTGCCGCGCAACGAACAAGAAGGTTTCCCAGGTGGCTTGGCTTGGCTTCCCCCAGAAGCAGATTCTGAGACCATGATTTGAGCACATGTAGTTCACCCAGGAGTGGATGCCAGGAAACACCAGCAGAGACATGGGGAAGCAAGACAGTTGCTATGTTATCAAGCTGGTACCCCAGGGGCACTGGGGGCTGACCCCACGGGTATTAGGAGCC